ATATAATTTTAAAAGTTTTAATAATATTAAGAAGATTTAAATATAAATTATAATTTAATTTTTTTAAGATATATATTAAATAACTATAACTTATAATTATATATATAATTTAATCTTAGGATATTATCTTTATATATAATAAAAAGAAATAAAAAAAAAAAAAATATAAATATTTAAATTTTTATAATATTAAAGTTTAAATATAAATTATAATTATATTTTTAAAAATTATATATAATAATTATATATATAATTTAATCTTAAGATTAAATAATCTTTATTTATAATAAAAAAAAATAAATAAATAATATTTATATTTAAGCTTTATATATAATTTTAAAAGTTTTTATAATATTAAAAAGGTTTAAATATAAATTATAATTTAGTTTTTTTAAAATATATATTAAATAGCTATAGTTTATAATTATATATATAGCTTAATTTTAAGATATTATCTTTATATATAATAAAAAGAAATAAATAATAATAAAAAAATTAAATAAAAATAGTTTTTAAAAATTAAAAATATTAAATTAAATTTTAATTTTATATTTTTAATTAAAATTAAATTAAAATATTAAAGAGTTTATATTAAGAAAAGTTTATTTATTAAAATATTTAAAAATATAAAAATATTAATTAATTTATTATATTTAAAAGTATAATATAATATTTATTATAATAGAATTTTTATTATTAATAATATAAGCTTATTAATTATTATTATTAATTTAAAAATTCTATATTAATAACTTTTATATTAAAATATATTAAATATAAATTAATTTTTAATAAACTTTTCCTTTAATTTTAATCTCTTTAATAATTAATAAACTTTTTTAAAAACTTTTTTAATATATTAACTTTAAATTAATATAAACTAATTATATTAATAAATTTTATATTTAACTTTTAAAAGCTATCTTTATTTAAATTAATTTAATATAATATAAAATATATTAGAATTATATATTAAATCTTAGATTTTAATAAATATAAATAAATAGATTATTATTAATAAAGTTTAACTTTTTAAACTATCTCTTATTTTTAATAAATACTTTTAGTATTTAAGCTTTAATTATTAAAAAGCTAACTTTATAATAAAGTAATAAACTTAATAAATATAATTACTAAATTTATTATAATATAAATAACTTTATTATTATAAGTAAGCCTTTAATTAAGTAAAGGCTTATATATTAAATATAATAAGAAAAAACCCTTTTTAAGTTAATATAAATAATTATTTTTATAGTTTTAAGAATTAAGTTATTTATATTAATTATATTTTAATTATTAATTAAAAGAACTATATTAAATATTAATATTTTTAGCTTTTTATTTTAAATTAAATTAAGAGAAATTAATAATAATAAGTATTCTCTTTTAAAGCTATAGCTAATTTATATTATATTAATTAGCTCTTATTAGAGTTTTTTTAAGATATTAATATTTATACTTAAGCTTTATATATAATCTTAAAAGTTTTAATAATATTAAAAAGATTTAAGTATAAACTATAGTTTAGTTTTTTTAAGATATATATTAAATAGCTATAGCTTATAGTTATATATATAGCTTAATTTTAGAATATTACCCTTATATATAGTAAAAAGAAATAAATAATAAGCTTATTAATTCTTAATATTTAGTAATTTATATAATTATATATTATATAATAAAATAAATAATATATAATAATTATATATATAAGTTAATTTTAAAATTAAATAACTTTTCTTTATAATAAGAAAAAAATAAATAAATAATAATATAATAAAAACTATATATAATAATTATATATATAATTTAATTTTAAAATTAAATAATTTTTATTTATATTTAAAAATTAAATAATATATATTTAGTATTATATAGTAAAAGAAATAAATAATATATAATTAATATTTAGACCTTTACTTATATTACTATTTAAATCTAGTTAATAATCCCTTTTTAAATATAGATGCCTATATATCCTATACTCCCTCCTAAGGCGCGATATGATATCCATGGGTTACTGTAATAATGTTTCCCCTCAGGGCATAAAATATCAGTCGTTCCACCACATATTGGGTAGGCAGAACGATCATTCGGAATATATATTCCAGCTTTATTCGAGTTGTTCTTGGTCTTCTTGCGCCTTCGCGGATCATCACCGCATTCAAATCCTCGCGGACAGCCCCCGATATGGGGCCCGCATAAAGGGTAATCGTTTTTAAACCAGCAACGGCCGGGGCATAGGTCGAGATTTTTGCAGTTTGGGCCAAGAGGGACACATCGGGCATCAGCCGCGCAGAATTTCCCGAGACCGCAAAGCATGCCGGTTGCTTGAGTTGTCCCAGTGTCGAGCAAGGCAAAACCGACTACATAAGCCGCGGCAGCCTTCATAATGTGATTGATGAGTGAGGTGTGGTGGTGCCAAGTTTTTCATATTAGGTTGGACGTTTGAGAGGCTGGGAACCAAGAATTCAGGGGTAGTGTAGTGTGTCTGCCACGAATATATACACGTGAACGAATTCTCCACCTCAGCTCAATATACGTTTGCTTTTTCTACTAATCAAACTAGCTAAAGAATTAGTATGAACTAATTTCGTTAGCTTTTTGGCTGAGTAATATTCAGACCTTATCTTGAATTGATAAGACTACTTATTTACCTAGTATTTTTCATCCGAGTCGAGCCTTTTCTACATCACTGGTTAATTCTCTCTAGAGCAATCTTAGTCATGTCAATAGCCTGTCATAGGCCTCGGAGCCTCTAGTTGTAGAGGCTTACAGCATCCTGTGCTTCATGGGATATTTCACATTTCTTTTAACAGCCGAAGAATGGCTTTCAACCATAGACTTACGCTCCGCATATCTACGCATATAAGTAACTCGACACATGTCGTGTCTCGTAAACGCTTGGGTTGGCTCTGGTCTGCCTTACCCGTATTCGTACACCCCGAGTTTGTCAAGAAAGGGAGGAGGCCAGGTGAAAGATTCGAAAATGAGTCAACCAAGGCAATTGAGACTTTATACCGTCCATTCATCTAGTTTTCCGGTTTGCCTTGGATTTTGGTGAGAGCAAATGAAAGGCATCATACATGGGGGACCTTCTCAATGCAGTTATAACATGAAACTATAGCTCGATTGGGTGTATCTTGCGGATGACATGGATGTGTGGGATGACAACAACACATGGCTGGTAACTCGATGACGCAGTTACAGGCATAAAAAATAAATTGCTATGTTCTGGATAGTAGACTCTCATCTATACCGGCCTCGAGTAGCAGGAAATGGTGCATTCATCAGTATGAAGTTCTCAGCCCTTCTTGCATCGACCACCTTCGCGCTTGTCTCTGTAAAATTCGCACGAGCCGGCAAGTCGTCAGACAACTTTATTCCGAGGCCTTCGAAGTGCTGTAGTGAAGGCCCTTCGTATTTGATTAGAATATAAGCCGAGAAATAGGCCCTCAGTTCGAAATTGAGCTCACCGGATCAATCAAGGTCAAGGAGACAGGCCACGCCCATCGATGGACATAGTAGTCTTGAATACCCTAATCCTCGTGACTGGGACGACGCCGTTCTTGAGCGCTTAGATAACGTGATGGCCAATGCGCATGGCTACGATATCAACCTTCTTCTTAAGCCATAAACTCCAGCTAAAATGTTTGTAATTACAAGATGTCAGCGACCATATCCCCAAACGGCTTTGTAGCGAAGATAAGAACCCGAAGATAACTGTGCAGTAACTGGCTTGTGCTACACTAGTTGGGGGGAGTTTTTCTTGTAGTGTGAATTGAGGATCGAGTTGATTGCTATTTGGCCGCCGAACGAACAGGCATATGTGACGACATGGAGCAAGGCTTACCATGAGAGAATATCATGGAAACCCGTGTTGATGCTGAGTCTGATCATAGTCTCTGATTGAGCAGTATTGATGGCTTCTTGTTGAGTTAAAGAGCCCTCCTTACTATGTATATGGGTACTCTTCTCAGAGCGATGGGTTTTCTCCATATCAGACTTTTGTTGATCTGTGGAGAAATCATAGCATCCATGATAAAGAGATTTATATTGCCATAAGCTCCAATATTCTCCCTGACGCGCTCACCAAGCTCATGTCACATTCTAACGGGGAATCAGGGTGAGTAAGCATCAAGCCTACTCCATGGGCAACCAGACAGACGAGTAGGAACTACAGTCCAAGACACTACTAACCTGTCAAATCAAATATTAATTTAAGTGAGTGCTTAGGTGTGCTATTTCCCCTATCATCTACTTGCTCACTTGGAGAGTCGGAAGGCCGAGTGGTCTGATCTCGCGGGGAATGTCTCTGATTTAAGAGCCATCCCTCGTTTTGGTTCACCGCATGAGGTAGTATATCGGTGTACCTTTCCCTCCGCATCACTTGTCACATCACTCCCAGTGTTAATTCTCAGGAGCCAGGCTTGTGCGAAGATTTAAGCACCCTTTCCTTTCTTTTCTTCCCACACCGACTTTGACCTTTGTGTGAATAAGATGTTATAAGAGAGTGTACCTTACCTCTAGGTTGCATTATTCGCATCTGCCTGAAATTTGGTGAACGCTGGCTCTCTGCAGAATTGTCCCTGTTGGTTAACAGTTTCTTCAAGATTCAATGGGGGTAACTGGTTCCAGCTCCCAACAACTACGATTGCCAGCTTAGGGCACAACAATACATTTCTGAAAAATCTAGCTGCACGTCAAAACGGTGGTCTTCTCGTTACTATGCTGGAGGGCAATTCAACATTATACCATGTGGAAAACCCCAACTCGAGACGTACAGCATTGACCCCGATTCGCCATTTTTCAGGCGCTACTGGCCTCCTCGGGATCACTGAGGCAAACGAGGATACTTTTCTTATTGCTATGTACGACTTTGAAAAATTAATCACGCCAATGCCAGGCACTGGGGCCATATGGGAGGTCAAATTTGCCAGAAAGAACAGTAAAGAAATCAAGGTTCGGGAGGTGACTATCTACCGAACGCTGGCATGATGAATGGTATGACTTCTGTCCCGGTTTGGCGTAGTTCTGGCGGCGGAGAGCAAGAGGAGGTGGCTGTCGTTGTTGCCGACTCTTATAATGATCAGCTTATTCGGGTGGACTTCGTGGCTGGCCAGAATGAGGTAGTTCTCGATGTTCTTGAGCTGTATGCTCACCCGAATGCCACGTTTCGTGGCGTTAAGTCTACAATGATCATACCTACTGGCCGAATTTCGAGCGTTTAACGATAGATAGAATTGCTATCGACAGAAATGGATATCCACTCAAGAGCGAAACAGTCTCAACCATTACTACAATCCCTGAGATTCAAGGTATAGACGACTTCGTCTTTCGTCCTTGATTAGGCTGGGGACAATAACGCCTTCATTTTATTTCGAGGGCACTGACTCTTACAACGAAAATAACACCTATCAATCTGCCGCTGGTGGGATTGGCTCACTTCTTCTTCCAAGCTGCACAGCATCCGCTTGGGGTAGGGGCAAGAACCACAAGAACATTTTGTATGTCACAACGAACGGTGGGATGGTCTCTCCGATCAATGGGACTATTGTCGAGCCTGCTAAAGTAGCTGCCGTCGACACTTCTCAATTTGTTATCTAGGATGAATAAATCGGCATAAAATCTGGACCCTCCTCAATATTTAGGTAATAACCTGGAAGTAAACATCCTATATAAAATGCTGGACATTGTGGAAAGAGCTTTCGGTTTCTATTGAATCATCATCCCTAAAGATTCGCTCTGGTCCTTGCCCCAGAAATTTAACTCTATTCTGGAAAGGGGGGGGATGGTTAATGTTCTATAAATATGGTGGTGCTTAGAAATACACATTTGAGATAGGTAATCATTAACTTGTCCAGCATGTTAACTAATTTTAGGTAGAAGTATCTGACGATGGAGCATGAGATCTTAGGACATCTTAGGAACATTGATCTCCGCAATTGTCCATACGGACCCATCACTATTGCTGGAGAGACCAGAATAAGTAGCCCCTTGCGAAGTCGCAATGGTATTTCCAAAGCTGGTATCAGGCCCTGCAAGTGTGATTTCGGTATTGATATAACGCTGGTCGGCAATAGTTGGGGTGCACCCATTATTGCATTCAGTGCCAGTGCCATAGCCTCGCATATAAGGGCCAGACTTATACTCATAGGAACTGAGTTCAGCACCCGTGTCGGCATCAGTGACGTCCTGTCTCCAGGTATCGTTATCGTCAAGAAGTGTGTACACAATCTTGACTTTCTGGTCGCCGCTTACGGCACTGGCCTCGCCATCGAGCTGTCCGAACGAGCCGAAGATAGAGGCACGGACGCACCACTGGCCGGTAGTGGCTCCGCACCAGGAATTGTCAGCCCAGGACTCGAGAGTGGTCTGAATCAGGTCTCCAGTGCCGTTTGACATGCCTGGCCAGAGGAAGAGGACGCCATTTTGGGTGGATGGTGCGGTTCCCGGAATGATTGTGGTAACGGCCTTCTTGATCGTGGAGGTTGTAGGACCGAGTGACACGGCACCACCCCAACTGTCTCGGGGAGCAAGTTCTGGGCCGAAATGCGGCAGACCTTGGGAAGTGCCAAAGAGCACGGCCCCGGAAATTGCTAAGGAAGAGAGAAACTTCATTGCTGTGAGTATGAGGTTTTCTTGGAACAAAGCTGGTGCTTGTTTTTGAATACACTGTAATTGGTAGTGTAAAGTGATGTGGAATGGGCGAGAATGAAAAGCAATTGAAGACGAGGGCGCCGCTGTAGCTATATATTCGTGTCGAAACCTGAAAACGTGAACCTGTAACAGCCCTCCGAAAGGCTTTGAAGCTAGAAGCAGGCAGATGTCATCGCAGTCCCAGTCATATGGACTACACAGTCCTCTCAGAACCTAATTCGTAGCTCGATTTTTTTTTGGTTACAGGCATCGTTCGGGGGTTGTTCCGTGCTGTTCCAAACTGGATCTCGGAGGGAAGAAAACGTTCCCTTTCTGGTATGAGGATCCACAATGCGGGCATCTTGTATCAGGTTTGCCCATTTTTAATTACAGGAAACTGATGCAGATCTGTAACGAGCGAATGAAAGTGTCTCTTGAAGAGTCCGTTTCCATGTGGCAGAAGGTTTCCCGGATGCACGGCACTGGACAACGTATATTTATTCCACATGTGAACGAAAATAAGTTTCATGCGATATGCCTATTGACGTAGACCCATGTAGGTAGCAGTGTGCAACTGGCCGACTACCAGGTCACAGCCTTCAGTTCCCTGTCAGCTACCGACATTTGTTTCATATCATAGCTAGGTTATGGACCATCGTGACAGCTCATCCGTTATTCTGTAAGTAAAACATGATTGTTTCGTGTCAGAGTTTGGTCTTAATTGATAGGAACAATCCATTTCACCTAGTATAGCTGTGGAGATTTCCATGAGGATGTGGAACTACTGCTAGTTATATCACGATCTTAATGGGTCATGACTCCATTGCGACCTCGGGAGCTTGCAGATGCACAAATTATTAGCCTTGGGATTCCCGGTAAGCTTCATCCGCCGGTGACTGACATCAACCAGCATTTGTGATGCACTACAATAGGTAAAGAATAAAGGCAAGCATCTACGCCTTCATAAGTTCTCTCCGTAATCGGCCATCACTATCTGCTCTCTTTCTGCTGTGAACAAATTGCTTGTCATGCTTTATATTTGATTATCCAATTCAACTAGCTTCTACAACGTCATGATATTGGAAATTCTTGAAACCTGTTTCCTTAACGCCTGTCTATGAAACCAACCAAGCAACAAACTTTGCGTCTCATATATCATGCCAATACCCTTGCGACTGCTTTTTGGTTTGTGATGGTGGATATAGCCATGGGCCATCCCTCTGAGTCATGCAGTTCTGGGCAATAGATGGGCCATTTACATTATCCTGTCAGGCACACACATATACTTGGAGCGACCCGTTAGCTGTTCTTGCCATGAATACTCTGACGTATATCATACTCTATCTTGCGAATGAGATGTGAAGACAATCAGATGAATCCTGACGTGGATGCCTTCGGAATCCGCGCAACCAATGCCCGCGGGCCCAAGTGGTATGGTCAGTCGGATTTCTTGGGCACGTTAAACGGCGAGTCTCTCCCAATGTACAAGAAACCGTCATAAATGCATGCACCTATGAGTCCGCCCACAATGGCGCCGGCCCACGGGGCCCAGAGCCAGTACAGGTGGTGGTGTGTGAATACCCCATGTCCATATCCAACCATGGCCAAGGCAATACGGGGCCCCGTATCTCGTGCCCCGTTCATGGCGTAGCCAGTATTGATCCCCAGGGCCGAGCCTATGGCGAGGAGTGTCAGGAACATGGCAAATGGCTGTGTCCCTTTGGGCGGTGCAAGGTTGCTCTTGTCCGCAAGGGCAAAAACAATGGCCACTAAGGTTGCTGATGCCAGGACTTCGGTATAGAATGCCCCAAGGTACGGCAAATGCGGTGCAGGGAGAGTGAAGAATAAACCGGCCGTGGCATGCGGGCCGGTGATGGTGCGGACGTCAGAGCCGCCCTCATACGAAGAGATGCTTGTTACGTAGTTGAAGTAGATGGCGAGACTGCCGGCGGTTGCGCCGGCTACTTGGGCGATGATGAAACTGGGCACCTTGCGTCGGGGAAAGCCACGGAAAAGGGCGAGGGCAAGAGTAACTGTTGGGTTGCAATGCCCTCCAGAAACACCGCCGGCCATCCAGACAGCAAGGGCTACTCCAGCGGCCCAAGCAAGACGGCATTGCAGAAAGTCACCGGCATTGCCTCGAATGTCGGATGAGTGGTAGTTCAGCCGCACTTGGCACTCAACACCGGCTCCAAAGAGCAGGATCAAAAACGTGCCCCAGAATTCTCTGTCGATTCGTTAGTCCTGGTACAGATCGAGGAGAATTGACCACGCACGCAAATTCCTCACGCCAAGCATGGCGGAATTGGGCCCAAGCATTTGGTGGCTCATCGCTCAGGGCCCAGTTAGGCTTGTGCAGGCGAGTCTCATGAGCTGCAGCAACGGGAGCCGCGGGCAAGACAGGTTCGACCTCATCATGGTGCGGGTGGACTTCATTGACGGATGCTGTCTTGACGAGGGGGGCTCCGATCGACCATGACGGCAGTCGGAAAGTGTTGGCGCGGTGACGTTGTTGGGACAGAAGAGGCTGACTGGGGTCGTCGGTGTCCATTCTATAGTGTTTGCCTTCACCAGCTTGGCTTGGTTCGTGAATGGAGAGGGCGTTGAAGAGCGAAGAGGCAGGCAAGGAAGGGCCGCAGAGATTGTTTTTTGATCACTCCTCCACACCTCCTTATTTCACCATACGCAAGTGATGTCATGGCACGGACCTTTAACCCACATGGTTGAACAAATCAATCCTTATGCAACGATGGAGGATTAAATGGATAAAGGCCTTGTCTAGTATCATCGCCTGGGCGAATGAAAGCGCAATCGTGGACCCACGGGTTCCGTAGATTGACGCTCGTTCACTCCACAACCGACCACCAGCATGCATGAATAAATAAATAAATGGCTGTGATGATAAGCAAAAGAGGGTCGGCCAGTCGATCACTCGAAGTGGACAAGTTGGGTAAGCCGAAACCGCTCTGTTATCATTACGAGACGGCGACCACTGGACATAGTTTCGGACACGATCCATCCATCATGGTAGGTGGCTGACGTAGAAGATGGCAAGCCAAGATTACTGACGAAGAATTCTTGTAAGTCGTTCGGTCGACAGTGCATATAGGTTTGCTCGAGATTATCAAAGACCGGTCCGGCCCACAAGTGATAAATATGTGTTGATATTTGATAAAGCTGAGAGATATTGAGGCTCCTCCAGCACCTTGCCACATATATTTCAGACTCAAGAAAGGAAGAAACCGGAATGAGTAAACAGTTATGGAATATCTATTAACTCCACTCAAATAAGAACGGTGCAGTCCCGAGATTAGAGCGTGATGACGAGTTTTCTTCCACTAACCCCAGCTTTACTACGGTTCAACCCCTCCTGTATGAGCTCAAGGCCATGGCCAATAACCTCTGGCTGAGGCAAGCACTTCAACTGTCCACCTTCCAGGGCAGGCGTGACATATTCCTCCCAGACCGGCTGAGCTATGTCATTGACGGCAAATATCATGCCTGCATTGACGTTTTCCGGGACATTTTCCGTCGGCGGAGGGTGAGTGCAGGCAAGATGACCACCTCCAAGCCTAGAGAGAATCTCCAAATCGTGGACGTAGGTATCCGGAGTTGAGATAGCATCAAATATGCCAACAGGAGGGCTTAGTGCTGTGGTAGCCTCAACTACCTTCTCAACAAGCTTGGGGTCTCGGTAATCGAACACGATAGAAGCGCCAGAGGTTCGACACAGCTCAAAGTTCTGCGGGCTGGAAATTGCAACTACGTCGAGTCCGCTTGCCACAGCCAGCTGCGTAGTCATACTCCCAGAGGAGGAAGAACCACCGTACACAATGATTGACTTCCCAATGCGAGTTGGAGTCAGCTTGGGATGAGGAAGGCCAAGAGCTGGTGTCGACACTCCGGGCATTGCCTCTCCTGGAGCTTTTAGCATTAAAGCGCAGACACCTGCCTCGAGTGCGAGGGGCAAGACAGCACCGGATTCGAAAGAGATGGAATCAGGCAGGATTGATGCCTTGGCAGCGGGAGCAACACAGTAATGGGCAAATGCGGCATCCCGAGGCTTCCCAGTGACTAGATTAATCGTGTGACTATTGCCGTGGAATAGTTCCAAGTCAGTAATCAAGTTCAGCCAACCACTATTGTAATGATTTTTCCAGCTCAGCTTACGCAGTTACACGATCACCAGGTTTGAACCTGGATACTTCAGCACCAACTTGGTACACTTCCCCAGCCACATCACAACCCAAAATTGATGGCCACTCCTTGATAAAAACGCCCCAATCCTGCATGTGCCAATCTAGCGGGTTAATTGCAACTGATCGGCTTCTGATGACGATTTCTCCTGGTCCTGGAGATGGCATCGGGGCGTCACCAACTCGAAGGTTGGTTCCCTTGGCATCAATCCAGGCGGCCTTGTTAGTGGGCATTTTGTTCAAGGATTAGGAAAGATTTCGGAGTCAACTGGGATGATTCGTGGCCAATATAAACCGATGATGGATAGTTTCAACAGATCCAGGTGGCATGGTGATCTATAGGTTTTTATAGACAGTACATGATCTACTCGATGTAAGTCTCTCTCATTGATGCCTGTCCTATCCTATTCAGACGTCCTTGAAGCTTATAAATCAGAAACAGGCTACGTTACATGCTTGTACCTATGATGCAGCTACCAAATATCATGAGAAGATTGACTAAACTCGGGAGACGGTGTGGCCACTAGTCATGAAGACGGCTACATGACCCTCATGAGCGCGTACAAATGCGCGTACAAATGCACAGCAGGTGACGATTTTAGTCCGCGCGCGGCAATTAGTCACATGCGGCTGAAGGATGGAACATGGGCGGAAATGGGCAAGTAGACATGCGCGCGCGGTAATTAGTCAGGAACAAGCTCCAGATACTTGAGAGATGTATCAATGAGGCGGTGGGTGAGATGAGATGAGATGAGATGCGATCCAAGAGCAAGACAAGAAACCTAACGCGCGCGGCTATTAGTCACGGCCCTTGTTCGCAGCGAAAGGCGAGAATACCAGCAAGTCTACCAGGTCAATATCTCTCCGAGTCACCTAAATTTATCATGCTCGTATTCATTCGTTATTTATGTATTCCGAGAGATAACGATATATATCACATGTTCACCGTTTCCTCATCCTCGACTCCAAAGAAGACTCTCATCGGGTCTTGATAATTCATGAACCCAACGCCAGGTTCGAGGACGCCGTAGCCTAGAAGCCGCTGAGCCTGTGGCCTCATCTGCCTCACCCTCTCTAGAGGAATCTCTAAAAAGAAATTCTCGGCGGGTCGCAGTGTAGGCTTGCAAAGAAATATTCCTACTGTCTCCCGGTACTCGTCCCTGGATAACCGATCAGCATGAAGTAGTGCATATGAGTAATGAAGCTGTGTAGACAGAGACAAACAAGTCTACCTACCTCGTAATGTTAGCCCCTCCAGCATGATATAGATTTCCCAGAAAAATGAGAGCGTCGCCAATTTCGAGTTCGGCTGGGACAGCCTCCTCGTCCAGTGGCCGGCGCTCTGGGCCCCAGAGGTGAGATCCTGGAATGGCAATCGTAGCGCCATTTTCTTTTGTCGTTTTAGTCAGGGCTGTAACACACCCTATCATCACTGGGAGCTCCTTGTCCTGAGGGTGATAGTCGCTTTTTCATCAAGTTAGCAAAAGCTGTTTCGAGGAAACACACATCCGGGGGGGGCTGTGAGGCCAGGTCATACTTATCATCTCGATGAAGAACCTGCTGCCTGCCTCCGGGGTTTACACGGAAACCCACCGTGGAGGAGATGATGGGCTTGCCGCTCACAGTCTCTTGGTGGTCGCCCCTCCACATGGTGTGGCTGGATGAAATCATCTCGTTGGCAACATCAGTGTAGAGCTTGTTGCATGCCAGCTCGACACACGCATCTGATACACCCAGAAGTCCTGTCGCTCTTCTGGTAGTTTCAGGAAAGAAGCCATACTTATCAGGTATATCGCTGTCAAAGTGTGGTTTCAACTCTTTTCTAATTTGCTCTGCCAGCTCGCGCGGAATCAAGCTCTCGACAATGACGCCCCCGTCTCGTTTGAGAATGTCGATCAGTGCCTTGGAAGAAGTGGACGGATTCGATGCATGGACCCTGGTGATGGTTGGCTTGCCGACGGACACGGCCATGATGAGTAGCAGAGACTGGCGATGATGGAAATTTTATTCAACGAATATGATGAGAATAAGTCGACTGAGCATAAAGATCGCCCACCTTTAGAGATTTACCACAATTTATTTTATTCGTTCTTTAACTATACATCCACAAGAGAGAAGAAGTCTTGAAGCTCTCTTCCACGCTGCCCAGATAGGGACGAAATCTATTTTCTCTCCCCGAATACCGGATTGGGTAGGAAGAGAGAGAAACTAAATACGGAGGGTGGGCCGTCACATTTAATCAGGCGAGGCAATGTTGGCTGCTTGTGTTGCATCGAGGCACACTATTTCCACATACCAGCCCTAGAAAAGTATTAAATGTGAGATGTATCGAAGTCAGGGTGTCGCTTGTCTTCCGTTATGGGTAGCTAAAACGCAAGAATCCGGTTTCCACGTAATTCCCACCTTCGAGCCAATGGCTGCCATTCAATCTCACTTCCCGACCAGAACTCATGCAGAAACTCCAGGACGTCATAGTATTGCTTGCAGCCGGTAATTTCCGGTATTGTCGTGTACAACTTGGAGACGAGCTTGCGATTCTCCGGATGGCCATGGCTCTTCACACCTAAAATAAAGAGAGGCCAGGGCAGGTTGTGGATGCATTGATTGATATTCTCCAGGGCTATGATCTGGGCTTTCAAGTCCCTCGAGGCTGTCTTCGACATCTCATCGTAATCAAGGCTTTGACCAAAACATGCCGCAACATAAAGCAGGCCAGCGTGATGATGAATGTCAACCAGCCGGATGAGGTCACGCGTCTGAGAAGCATTGTGAATATTTAGCCTACCAGCAGCCATCAAAGTAGCGCCTCTAGCTAATTCAAATTCTCCTTTCCAGTCTCGAATGTGTTGTTGTTTCGAAGGAGGAGGGAGAGGTGTCGGCTGACGAGATATTAGAGTCACCTCATGCAATAGCACCAGGTATTCCAAGAAGAGAACCGTCTCATTTCGGAGTATCCTTGTACTTTCAAGGTCCGGAAGCACTGCCTTGCGAATACTTGATATATCAAATGATGTTGTGCATGCAAAGACATCATACGTGGACAGCTTATTTCTAAGTGACAGGAACAGCGTGCTTTGGCGCCATTCTGTGGTTGACAACGTATTGACGAAGGACTTCGCTGCAGTGCGATGGAACTCGGCAGCTGCTGCACCAGAATGGAACATCTCATAACACGAAAGAACGAGCATTGACGCCAAAATCCAGTCTGCAGCCTCCTCGCCAAGACCCTCTTTCACGAGTCTACTACCCCCGGTAGCAATTTGGCAGGTAACATCATGGATATACCGAGATATCATGGCCACAGCTTCATTCCGTGCATCTTCCGGGACGTCAGGGTCGCCTCGTGAGAATGCTGCATGCTGGGCGGAAATGGCGGCGACAGCGAGACGCACAACAGGGTTGGTATGGGCCAGAGGCAGCACATGGCGTCGATACACATTGTCGTCGCCGTCCAGCCACACCATGATCTTGGCTACATGTTTATCGTAGTATTCCACCAAATCTTCTAATGAGTATCCACCGAGTGACCTAATGCGGGCAATTTCGACATTGGTTGGCGGTGGTGGCTGAGTGTCCTCGACTTGACCAGAATCTCCAAGGCCTTTTAGATGGCCACGTATCGCAGCACCACCAACCCATCGAATCCGCGAACCATATCCCGGGCAAGAGAGGCCCTTTTTAATACATTTCTTACAGGAGGGTGCGGACAAATCACATCGAATCCGACGTTTGGTACACATGGAGCACCCTGTAAAATCGCACATGTTAGTTACTTCCGTTACTTGGAAAACAGGAAGTGACTTCACACCTTTCCTCCTCGGCGGCTGCTGGTCTGAGATTGGAATATCAATGGGCTTGGATGGCTTCATTCGGCCCCGTTTCATCGCCATTCTGGACGACATCCTCTCTGGTTCCCTATATATTCTGGCCGGACGCAGGCGGCACGCGCGAGAGAATGTTCGACTGGCGACCTGTATGAACCTAGTCTTCTTTGGTTGACAATAGAAGCCACGACAATAAGTGGATAATCGAAAATCTTAGGATGGCGATTGTGATAAGTTTTTTGTTAGGTTGAATTTTCCATGTCGGAACTCATTGGCGATGGTCTTGGCTTACGATGCGTTGTCCCGCCTTGTTGTTGACTCTCGCCCGGACTTCTGCTTTAGGTAGTAAAAATGAGAACCATCAGAACTGGCTAGCCCACTCATGTGACAGCCATGATTCGCCCTTCGAGTTCGGATCCCGATCCACCCACGAATGACAGCAGTGAGCGTAGGCAAGGAACAGTCCTTGCGTGTATGTGGGGAGAGAGGCACGGATGATTTCAAAGGACCACAGAACTTGACCGTGGCTGGGATTTAGGATACAATCGTATGAAACATCTCCGGCGTAGATTAATGACCGTATGCACAACTAAATGTCCATACATTACTAGGAGCTACAGCTTCATCAACTGCTACTGAGAGGATGCAAGGCATTGTAAAAACAAGATTACAAGGTTAGTATTCAATGAATATCTCAAAAAAACCAAGGCCAATGAAAAAATGCTCAGAATGCTCCGGTAAGCTTCCAAGGCGAATTCAAACGAGAGTAAGTAAGGTAAATCAAGCATCTGCTCGGTTACAACTTCGTGAAATCCAGGGTAAAATCGAACGGCTCCGCGTAGCACCGGTATTTGTCAAATGGAGGTGGCCCGACACTGGCCGAGCCCAGACCGTTATTGTTATAATCCAGGTGCAAGATAGTCATGTTGAGTGGCTTCAATTCGTGGGGGTGCTGCGCGTTGTTGAGATCATGCGGCATGTAACGACGTGCGGTGAAGCTGAACGGCGTGTCTCTCATTTGTACCTGGACAGTTGTGTTCTTATCTGGAGCCCCAACCTGGAGCCAGCGCACATCTTCACGATTGCCATTCTCCTGGGGGTAGTCGTAGTAAGTGAAGAGGTCGTCCACCGAAGAGCTGTACTGTCCCATGCGAGAAGCCTGCTTCGAGTCCTTGTAATTTTCCCCAGGACCACGACCAAACCACGAAACCTCATCAAAGGCGACTGGCAGCACAGCCAAGACACCAATACGAGGGATCACGGATGGAGCATTCTTGCCTACAAATGCGCCGCTGGCACGGAGTGTCAGACCGAATCTATTGGGGTCGATCGTGTAAGTGAGATCAGCCTCCACAGCCCACTCAATCACCTTGGGAGCGACCCGAACTTTGTAATTCACCCTCACTATCCCGTCCTCATCCTGCCATGTCACATCACGAACCTGCGTATGGAGCTCTCCAACCCGCGCGCGGCTCCATTCGTTGTTGTCCCCAGACCCGCCCACGTCGTTTTGAGTCAAGGCACGGTAGAAGGCTAGTTCTGGTCCTTGCTCGAACACGTCAATGCCACTGGCTTCCCACGTCACGTTTCCTTGCAGTAGGTCAAAGCCAAATGCCGAGTCACCGCTTTCTATGAGAAGCTTTGTGCCTAAGTGGGCTACATGCGTTGGACTTTGAGGAACGAGAGGTACTTGGCCATCAGGCGCTGTTGTCTCTTTCAACAATTGCTCTTGCTGCGAGGGGATGTGAAGCTGATCCCAGGCAATAATGTGCCCTTGTTCGGCCCAAAGCGTATCCCTCTTCAACCTGAATTCGACCACGAGCCATGCCTCCGTCGTGAGGCTGCTCCTGTCGAGCGGTAGGCTCAGGGTGCTGTTTTTGCCGGCCAAAATGTCAGGGAGATCCAAAGGCTTTGCATCAGTGACCGTCCCGTCTTGAACAAGATGCCAGGACGCATCGAGCCCACCAAGATCATTAAAGTCATAATGGTTGATTATTGTTATATGCGACAAGTCTTCAGTAAGTTTCACCGAAACAGGCTGAATGACCTTGGCGTACTCAAGTAATGACGGCATGGGAGTGTGGTCGGAAAGCACAAGCCCGTCCATGATGAAGTCGGCATTGTTCGGCTCGTCGCCGAAGTCGCCGCCATATGCATAATACTCCAAGTCACCCTCCTTCTTGAGAAGTCCATGATTACTGAATTCCCAGACGAGCCCACCTTGTAGATGCGCTTGGGTCCTGAAAAGATCAATGTACTCTTCTAGACCTCCAGGGCCGTTCCCCATCGAACTGCCAATCCTTCGTGTTAGCACAGATTCTTTATATGGATTCTGGGACCGCCTCGAGGTAGGATCGGCAGGCTTGGTGTAAGATCAACTTACTGGGCAAATTCACATAGAATATGTGGCTTGTCTGGCATAGCCTGGAGGCGTCGCAAGATTTCATCAGGCCAAGTGTACATGGAGCTATAGACGTCTACGACGGCTGCGTAGTAGTCGGCCTCATAATGCAAAATACGAGTTGGGTCAAACTCCTTGATCCATTTGGACATTGCAGCATGGTTCTGTCCATAGAAGCACTCATTGCCCAGCGACCAGATGATGATAGAAGCGTGGTTTCTCAGACGATACACAAGCTGGATGGCTCTATCCAGGTAAGCTTCCTGCCAGTCTGGGTTGTCTGAGGTCCATTTCTCTGCACTGTAGTTGGGGATTGCACCAAAGCCGTGGCACTCTAGGTCTGCCTCCGAGATGACGTAGAAGCCAAGCTCATCGGCAAGATCAAAGAAGGCGGGGTGTGGGGGCTGGTGAGAAGTCCGGATGGCATTGATGTTGGACCTCTTCATCTGGATTAAATCAGTACGCATAGCCTGGTATGGCACGGCCCGTCCCGAGAGGTGATGATGCTCGTGCCGGTTCACACCGTAGAGAATGACTGCCTTTCCGTTGACCAAGAAGTTGGAGTCCTTGAGCTCGATGCGACGGAAGCCAACGCGTTGACTAATTGTTTGACCCGCAAAGGATATGAGCAGCGTGTACAAGCTCGGGCTTTCAGCAGACCACAGTTGTAGCTGTGCACTCTGGATTGGATGTGCATATTGCATAGTTGATGCACCTTGCCATTGGTGAATGACATTTCCAGACGGGTCCAGCAGCTTGATCTGCAATGGGCCGGCATCGCCCTGGGTGGTGACATTGACTCTGAGCGTAGCATTGTTGAGTGAACTCTCAACCTCTGGGCTTACTTGAAGGTCTACAACGGCAGACTCGGGGAAGGGAACCAAGTACACGTCCCGGAAGATGCCGGAGAGCCACCATTGGTCTTGGTCCTCGAGGTATGAACCATCAGACCATTGATAGACCCGGGTTGCAATGGTATTCTTCTCCCCAGCAGAGAGCAGGTAGGGGGTGATGTCGAACTCGCTCGGGTTCCGGCTTCCTTGGCTATAGCCAACTTCTTCGCCATTAATCCAGACGTGGAACGCACTGTCAACACCTTCGTAACGCAGACGGATCTGCTGGCCGAGCCAGTCCTCTGGGACGTCAAACTCGCGCCAGTAGGAGCCAGTAGGGTTCATATAAGACACGTTCGGGGGGGTCACGGGGAATGGGTAGTCGTAGTTGGTATAGTGGGGATGACCGTAGCCCTGCGTCTGCCACATGCCTGGAACTTGGATATCATCCCATGATGTGAAGTTGGCGAGTTCCCAAGCAGGCGCATCAAAGGGAGAAGGGTCATAGTGAAACTTCCACGTTCCATTGAGACTGTGAAAATTCCCCTGGTCTCTGTCAAACGACAGGGCAGCCTGCTCGGAAGGGTACGAGTAGAAATGGGCGCGAGGAGGGAGGGTGTTGCGATGAAGCACTTGCAGGTTGCTCCAGTCGGGGAGAAAGCCCGGGAATGCCATGACGAGAAGAAGGTGTTTCCAGCTTGCATGGCCAGTCAGTCTGGCCTGGTCGTCTGGGGATAACATCATAGGCGACTCTGGGATATTATGTCTTTGCAGCTAATGTTCCAACCGGCCACGGTGGGGGGAGCGCATCAGATCAGGCGGAAGAGGTTGCAACGGCATGCAATGCCCACTCTGATCGACGTATGGTCATGAGGATATCACGATGTCGCATCGGACGGCAAAAGGCCATACAGTTTTGGCAGCCAACTCCAGCCGGTTGAGCGATGGTTGAAAGACGTTGGTTCGCACCCACGGCTGGGGGAGAGTACAGCAGGATCCACATGGCAGCCAGTCATATGGTCACTGTGCCTGATTTCTCCTCAACTGGAATTGGAAGTACAGAAATGCAATGTCACCCCGCGGGGAGCGGTCAATTCAACCCTGATGCTAGTTCGGCATCATAGAGAGTAGGATTGGGGAATACGATGGACTCTGGCATCACAAGAACAGGACACTTGATGTGCTCATTTTGGAGCCATGAAACGCCGGGATGATACGGTGCTCTTCAATTACGAATATACTTGGAACAGGAAGCAAGTGTCTGCCATCATCGTCATCGGGATCAGCAGTCGGAAATATCTGAGCCACGGCAGAACGGGGAAGAGTGCGGGGAGGGAAGTAATGCCCTGAAACTAAGGGGGTTTAATAGGGCGAGTGATTTGCTGGGGATACCCTCCAGTCTTTTTTTTTTTGGCTCCAACCTACCCGACACCAGCTTTGATGATCACCACTCTCTTCCTCTAATGAAGCTACCAACATCATCCTACATGTGCGTCTTTCAGACCGTCCGACGCCTCGCCTTGGGTGGTCCCCCAAGGCGTCTGGCCACCCTCGAAATTCGACGCACCATTGCAGGCAGACCATCTACCTATGATTTCCTAGTGGTGATACCTGACAAACCAGATGCTCGAGCCCGCCGACTCGAGGCCAGAAGGTACGCAGCACACAGCGCCACGACCGACGGTTGACTGGCCACTGGCTATCTAGTGTGATAATTAACGTTGCAATGTGATCAGTCGTCATTTCGAGGAGCTGAAGCCCGGGATTGAGGCGGGCAAATACAAGATGGGCGGGGCACTACTTCGCAGTGTGCCCAAGGATGACCAAGTGTCAAGCCTCGATTTTGTGGGCAGCACGCTTGTCGTGAGCGCCACATCAGAGGAGGAGGTACTGGAGGGGCTGAAGAAGGATGCTTACAGCCAGCACGATGTGTGGGACTTTGAGAAGGTGAGCGGTCCTTGGCCTCACTCGCATCATCCATGTATGCACGACTGTCTAATCCTGGAATAGATCCAAATCTACCCCTTCAAGCCTGCATTTTAAGATGCAGGGCTAGATCATACCCGGGAGAGGTCGAGATTAGGCTGCGTAGGGGAAGCTTTTGCTTTTTCCCTTCGGTGGTCTCGGATGCTGAGAGTCGAGGGCGAGTGCTGATTCTGGTGTGCCATCTGGGGCGGAGCCACAGAAAAAGGGGATGAATACGCTGGGTGAAGGAAACACAGCAGGCGCGTACAGCGACGGTACAGGTATCGGATGTTAGTAATCAGAACCTCGCGGTGCAGTGGGAGATGGTTCTTAGGGAGGGAGGCAGCTAGGTTCGCACAGGGCCTGACCGTGACAACAGAAAGCGACTGATTACATCACTACCTACATCAGTACTGTCTCTTCCTCGCCGTGCACAGACCTGATTTGATCTGACGGGATGCAGCTTGCGTGCTGCACGTAAAGGCAAAAGCCGAGCAACGTGCTTGGGCCCCTCGCCCACATCCCCCTGGGCAGGAACATGCCGATGTACCCTTGCTCCAGACTTGGGCGGGAGTGTACTTGGGAGGTACTTGTCCTACTCGTTCACGGTGGCAGCCCAGCCCAGCCCCCCCAATAACTGCGTGCCCAGCAAACCAGCCAGGCTGTTGTCCCTCCCTCGCCGTCGAGCTCGAGTCCAGATGCTGCACTCGCCACCAGTGGATGGGTACCTCAATATCTACCAAGGTACTAACCCTCCCCGTCGTCCCAGACACCTGCAAGTAATTACTCCTCCAAGCCTGAGGTCTGGCTCCCCACTGCGCTTCCTGTTCCGGAGTTGATTGGGCAATGGCCAGGTAGCTCCAAACCTTGCTCTGCTATGGGGTACTTACGCACCAAGAAATTCATACTGTGCACTGTGTGCCCTCTGCTGCAAGGGAGCAACAGAGCTCAGGAGTGATGAGCTTGCTTCTGCTGCTTGCTTGCTTGCTTTTGCTGGGACCGCCCTCCTTTCCCACACCCCCTCTCCCCTTCGCCTCGCCACCCCTCCTCCTCTTCGCGCTCTCGATCGCCTAGCCTTCTCCAGTCTCTGTCTCTTGCGTCGTCGCGCGCTCTCTCTGTCTCCCTCCCTCCTGCCGGTGCTGTTTCTCTCTCGCCGGGCCCTTCTGACTCGTCTTACTCCTGTACATACTCCTGTCCCAAACCAGCCAGCCTTCTCCGTCCCAAGCGTCTTCCTAGGTAGTCCTGGCGTGCGAGGTACCTTATCGCCGCAAACATATCCTCCCAAATGCATGTACCAACAACCTTTGCGATCCCCCTCCCAAAGTGGATGGTCGCCTTCCTCTAGCTGAGCTGAGGCAATGCTTTGCTTTACTCATCATAGACAGGTAGGTTATTATTGCGTAGCTATCCGTAGGTCCCATCCCCCCATGGTCCGTCCCGACCTACCTTGCCTCTAGACCCCGAGCTCCCTTCTCCCACTCTCTCTCCATTCCCGTCTAGTTCGGCCCCTTCTTCACTCTCTCGATCCCCCATCACCTCGGCTTGCCTTTTGGTAATCTCCTCATAATTTCTATTTCCTCTTGTCACCGCTCTCTCGCCCAATCACTTCATCGTACCCTGAACTCCCCTCCGTTGTAACTCAAATTCAATATGTCCAAGAGAAAGCAAGGCGTGGACGAGGAGGATCTCGTTTCCCTCCCCGAGGAAGATGATGGTGAGGAGGAGGAAGAGTAAGTGCCCCCCCCAATGCCAACGTACCCCTCGAGCGTTGTTGCGCACCTGGGCAAGCTTGCGGTGAGCTTCGCGCCCGGTTGCGACCCGCGACCTGCCGTGCTCTGTCCAGCAAGTTTGACCCTTTCTCCTCGCCCAAGGCTAACTCCCCGAGCTAGGTACATCTCCACCGCCGATGAGGAAGAGGTCTCAGAAGAGGATGAGGAAGAGGACGAGGAGAACGAAGAGGACGACGAAGAGGAAGATGGAGATGATGAAGATGGCGGCAAAAAGTCCGATGCCAATGGCGTGAAGGGTAAGACCAGCTTCCTGCTGCGCACATCCCCCTACCGCGCATACTCCCCGACTCGTAATACGATGCTCCTGCGAACCTCGCGCATCAGCACAACCGAACCGATGACTTGTTTTGCATGCGCGCTAACACTCTTCTGCTGTAAACACAGATGATCAACCTCCTACAAAGAAGCAGAAGACCGTTGCCTCGTCCAAGGAAGAGATCAATGGCAATGCCGCGGCCGACGATGACGAAGAAGAAGAGGATGAGGATGAGGAGGAAGCAGAGGAAGAAGAGGAAGAGGATGCAGACGGAGATGAGGACGAGCCAGTGCCTGCCAAAGGCGTCAAGGTTGATCCAAAGGCTGCGGCAGCTGACGACGAGAAGGTCGAGGCTGTCGCTGCTGGTGGTGATGAAGAGGCATGATGCTGGTACGAATCTGCGAGAATGCGCAATGCCGTGATGCAGACCCTGAAGCCGTGCAAGAGGAGGCCACGCTGGACCGTATCCCGTCGCTGTAGATCCTTGGGCATCGTGTGATCTTTTGAGGATAGCTTCTTTCCCTTCCACTTAGACAGAGAACATCCAATCACTTCCCATCTTGTATTCACTTATCCACCTCCCCAAATATGCATGCCGTATACTCCATTTTCTGTGTGAGACACGAGGTCATGACCTAGCTGTCTGGTATCGCATCCCGTGCGTGAATGATTGCACACTCTAATTGTTCTGGGATGTCCCTGTCTTTCTCTGCTTTGCCGCTTGCAGCTTTTGTCAAATGTTCCCAAACTGGCCCAGGTCATGTCTCGTGTTCCCTAATGGGCTGTCCTTGGAAGATGTTGCAACGGCAGCTGCAGCTGCAGCTGCAACAAGTCCGTAGCATTGTCATCGCCGGCGGGCGGCATTGTGTGATGTTGTGGTTCAATCGGGTCGAATGCGGCTGGTTGCAAGGAAAGGGAGCTGCATGGGCTGGGATCCATGTGGAAAGAGCCCAGGTCGTTTAGGCAGGAGTTGGGCGATAAACGCGAGAGAGGGGCTGATTTCGCTCTCAACAATGAGATCATCACCCGCCTTTGTTTGCACTTGAGTAAAACACAACAAAATAAAAAGGATCAGCTTTTCGCTTCTTCGGACCAAACTTCGCGTATAAAAGTCTGTCGCAATGGCTACCACACTCGCGCAAACGACGTAAGGTTCTTCATCAACAACCCTCACCGGGGCTCCTTGGCACGTTGGAGATGAGATGTCCTGATTGAATCCCGGTTTCGCTGACACCCCATTGTGCCGTCTCCAGTCGTAGATTTCTCTTGAATACAGGTGACAAGATTCCAGCCGTGGGCCTTGGTACCTGGCAGTCGAAACCTACCGAGGTCGCTGTCGCTGTCGAGACCGCACTGCGTAGTGGCTACCGGCACATCGACACTGCCCATGGTTATGGCAACGAGAAAGATGTTGGCCAAGGCATCAGAGCCTCTGGTATCCCGCGCAACGATATCTGGGTGACAACCAAGCTAAACAACCCCTGGCATAAGCGTGTTGCCGAAGGGTTGGACTCGAGCTTAGAGAATCTCCAGACGGACTATGTGGATCTGTTTCTCATGCACTGGCCGTGCTCGACAACCCCGGAGGACAAGACGAAGCACTATGACGATTGGGACTTTAAGGACACGTGGAGAGAGATGGAAAAGCTGCTTGGCACTGGGAAAGTGCGCAACATTGGAGTGTCTAACTTTGCCATCGGCCATATTGACCAGTTGCTCAGTAGCCCGGACACCAAGGTGCGTGGCTATCCACCCTTCTGAAATGGCTCGGGCCAAGAAGCTTGGAGATATTGAAGCTGATATGAGATGTCTGGGTAGGTTGTCCCTGCAGTCAACCAGATCGAGCTACACCCTTGCAACCCGTCCCCAAAGCTAGTCGCCCACTGCCTCTCTAAGGGGATCCATTGCACTGGTTATTCGTGCCTCGGATCGACCGACTCGCCTCTCTACACGAACGAGAAGTTGCTCAAGATCGCCGGAGACAAGGAGAAGACCGCACAACAGGTCCTTCTTATGTGGGGGCTTCAGAAAGGCTGGAGTGTAATTCCCAAGAGTGTGACGCCGAGGCGCATCGAGGCGAATTTTGAGCTGGATGGCTGGGAATTGACAGACGGGGAGATTAGGGACATCGATTCCATTGAGGATCGATTCAAGGTTTGCGATGATAAATGGCTACCTATTCGGGTGTTCTTTGGTGATGACGAATGAGGGAGGATTGCTCCCCGAGTAAACCAAACTCATGACCAACGAAGGGAACTGGCTCGATGATTGATCAGACTCGTAGATGGTGTTGTGCTTTAGGTATTAAGTATTGCTGTAAAGAGGCAGAGAAAATAACGCTTGTGATGAGACAATGAAGAACCCAAGCGTTCTATTATTATAATTTTGCCTGGGAATCAGTTCTCGGCTCTCCGTTATGCCCCAGCCCTTCCGCTGTTTCTTCTTCCCCTAAGACACGGGCCACTTCTACCCTCAGCGACTGGGCCAGCTTCTCAGCCTCATCATCATCCAGCTCCTCTCGCCTGCCCTTGCCAAACATGGTAAAGCTCTCACTGATCTTGCCCCTGGCCCGAATGTCAGGGCGGGGGATTAGATGGTAATGGGTGTGAGGCACCACTTGGGCGGCGGCGGCGCCATTGTTTTGAACGACATTCCAGTCCTCCACGCCAGTTGCTCGGACCAGGGCTTTGGAGAGTATCCTGACGGCAGCACCCAAGTCCTTGGCCTCACTGGGAGAGACATCCGTCAATTTGGGACGGTGAGGCCGAGGGCAGACCAGAAGGTGGCCGAAGCTGAGGGGCATGATGTCCAGAAAGGATATCAGTGTCGGGGTGGATAGAACGACAAAAGAAGCTGGGGATGTGAGCGAAGGGGACAGGACTGAGGGCGAGGGAGAAGGGGGGTCTGAGGGTGGGTAGGGAGCATGAGCCGAGGCGATATTGCAAAAGGGACAGGACTCATCCGTCTCAGACATGCTGATGGTGATGATCGGGTACGTTTGGAACCAGGGGAAGATGGACCAGCAATGGAGGTGACCCAGACAAAGTGGCAGTCACAGCGAAACAGTTTCCTCACACCAACGCCGCGTAGGTAGACTAAAGAAAGAGGTTCTCCTCGATGCAGCGTGCCAAACTAGCTAATTGCCAAGGATGTGAAGCTTTCGCAAGAGGAAAAGTGGACCACTGCCATTCATCAAGCCACAGTAGCATCTAGATTTGGCGACGGTCGGGCGGCATGCGCCACACATCACAAGCAGCAGGCAGCCAAGGAAGGCACCAGCCTCTGCTTCTCCACCGTGCTTACCGAGGCAGAGGAGAGGTGAGGCAAGGTGAAGTTAGGCGTGAGGTCAGTTTCGACTGTTGGTCTGACTGCTTTATGCATCACGTACCCTGAAGACTTGACGCAAAATATGGGCACCTGCCTGGCCATCCAGCCCGAGTAATGCAATTAAATGCTCTCCTTTTTGCCTTTCTCTTCGATTTCAAGCCCCTTGCGGAACCACTGCCTCGTCTATTTGCTGGCAGACAATCTCGCTGGAAGGGCCGGCCCAAGCTAAGAAAGCTGCTGGCAAGCGTCTCCAAAACCACGCATATGCACAAGATGGTCTGGGCACCACTAGCCTATCCTAGGTAGCCCGCACCCACAGGACACGGACAATTTGTGTCTGTTGGATACAGAATATCGTGGTTAATCTCTAGTAAGTACATGGGTTTCGGAGTCGCAATTCGGCTACTTGAGTGGTGTGAGTCACGGTTCCTTGACGCGGGGATAATAAGGTGAGATTTTTCGACCCTTAGTGATACTCGCTGAGTACGTACTCTGAGCTTAATGCCTTGAGCGGATTTGATGCGTTATACGCAAGGGGAAACTTGGCATAGCAAACCCAGGGCATCTCTGTGCCCAGGGAGTACTATCTGTCGGATTCACTTCTTCGGGGTGGCCCATAAATTCGGAGGCAGAGCAAGACCCCTCTAATCCAGACCTTGATCAGCTCTTCTCAAGATCTTTGGCTTGGGGTAGGTTCACTCGCGAAGCTAAGTCAGGCTTCTTGGGCTCGGTTCGATCGATCGACCAACAGCATCCAGTTCCCTTCAAGTGGATGAGACTAGACAGCGCCATGGGGGAAGGCCCGGTCACGCTAGATGGGATCCTCGTCCGCATCGCACACTAAGAGCCAAGAACGAGGGGGAATCATAGGAACCTGTATCCTGCGAGCTGCCTCTCTCTCTCTCTCTCTCTGAATATCAATAGCCAGGGTGCGCCAGCAGGACCCAGTGTGCCAGGTGGCCCTAGTCATCCCCCCTGTTCTTGAAGATGGGAACCGGGGACATAGGAAGAGCAAGACCCATCCACACTCTCGGTCGCCTCGTTAGGCTCGTTGGTGCACAATCGGTCGGAGCCGTCGCTCTTGAGCTTCCCCAAGGATCGGACATAAGATTGCGGACCAGAGATTCATCAAGCCAGCGTTGGCCATGAACGCACAATGACGGGTGTACCGACGCACAAGTGGTCCACCCTCGCCGAAGGGCCACAGCTTTTGACCATTCTTTCGTTCGCAGAGCTGTTGAAATGATATTGTATTCGCCGAAATATAGATCGGCGTTAATACAAAATAGGGGCGTCGGGTCCCAGCGCTCCCTCGCGAGAACTGGGCTTCGTTTGCTTTTACGCCGGTGGCCCCGTGGACAAAGATAGATCGTCTAGGTGTAGGGGCTCTGGGAAGCTGTTGGAGACGCAAACTCTGCATCTGGGCCGAGTCATACAAGCCTCTACGTGCTCTCACAAGCTCACCCGAAGCCTGGCATCCTCTTTCCTATTCAGATCGCCACCAAAAGGACCTGCAGACCGGTGGAAACCATCATAAGCAAGCGCATGCATATCTGGCCATTGCGAGCACGGCTTCGGTGTTGAGACGTGTTAACACTGCACAGGGTATATGAGAAACCCGCGAGAGATGTCACATTCTTGGGCACAGCTTTCACGCGGGAAGGTGATTGTCAACTCGGGCGAGGTTGAAATCGCCCCCCCACCTCTTCTTCAACAGAAGTTCAGAATGCTACCCAAAGGCAAGCTCAATCTTTCGTCATCGACATGCCCGGAGCTAACACTTCACGCAAAGGGTTGGTTCGCATAATGGCCTCCCGGTTCCCAACTTGGCATACTCCCATCCATCCCTTCTGCACGATCCTTTTGTTATAGTGGCAGACCCGCACAACCGTCCAAATGCTGCGCCAGCTCACGAATGCGTAATAGTACGAACCCGAATGCATGAACTATTGGAGAGGGAAGTTCCTTGGCCTTAATTACGACCATGTTGCAGAATTGGGGCTGTGGCCTGCTCTTGGTCGTAACCCTACTGGCATTACACGCACCCGATCCGCCCCATGTTCCCCGCCCGGTTGATTTGGCGAATCAAACAATCCCCCCCCGCGTCGCTTTCTGTCTTTGGCTACGATAGGGATGACATGTGGTATTTCGTGTCTAAAGGGCTGCCGGGGGGGGGGGGGGGCACAGGTCGTAGCTGAATCTTTCTGCGTTGCGTTGAAGGGGCGCCAGTGCCCCCCTCAGCTGGTCTTCAGGATAATCAGACACTACTGGTATCCTAGGAAACCTGTGATTTGCAACCAGGGAGGAACGTAGACTTTGGCTGAAGATGATCTTTGTTTGTATGTTATTCTAGGCAGGTCCCCTCTCCCAATACGGACCGGGAACCACATGATGCTTGCGCTCGCTAAAGATATCCGCCGTAACCCAAACAATCTGATTCAAAGTAGCCCGCCCACCCATGATATTGGCATCCTTACGCCTGCAAAATAAGAAAAGGGAGAGAAAGAAACTAATAAGTGACGGAGAAGGAGAGAAAGAGCGATATGAGGAGATGAGAGAAGACGAGGACGGCTTGACGAGGAAGCGAAAAATTGGGCTGCTCTTCGCTCATGGCTGTCCCGAGGAGGGAGAGGATGACGACTGCCCGCGTGCGTTCTGGGCCAGGAGAGACACAAGGGTATCCACCATTCGTAGCTCAGCTGAGTAGGCAAAGTGGCAATTGCCATCGTGGAGCCCGCCGCCGGTGGAAATGGTGGTGGAAGTGGACGAGGTGGCTCGAGAGTCGATGCTGGAGGGCTCGCTTGGCGCGGATGAGGGAGCTGGACTTGACTCGTACTGGCGAGCTGATCCGGTGCTGTCTTCCGAGCGGGCCATGGCGTCTGGGTAGGCGAGTTTCTCGAGGTGTTCTTGTAGTTGCGTTTGGGCTGTGAGGTGCCTTGAGGAGCGCTTGGAACGAGAAGATCTGCTGGAGTGACGCTTCTTTCGATCTATGCTTGGTAGCTGGGTCGCTGGTTTTCAGGTTAGCGAAACCGATTCCGCCTCTATGATAACATCTATATATGGCCGAGGTGTGTCAAGAAGCAGCGGGAGAAACATACGCCGATTCGAGGATGGGATGGACTTTTCAGAGGTAGATGTTGTTTGAGAAGAAGAGTTCGAGGGCTGCCCCATGGTTTAAATAGGTGAGCGGATGGCGCTATGTGGTGGATGTACGGATGGACGTATGCACATATGACGCAGGTAGCAAAGCTGACTGGCGGCCGGAGGGCAGGAGGACAAGGGAGGCAGGCTGATGGAGGAAACACACACAGGAAGGTGGTGGGATAAGAATGGGGTGATTGAAGGTGAGGATGGGTAGGAGTAGGATGGAGCAGGAGACTGTGCTTCTTGATGCTGTTGGTCGTGCAGACACGAAAGGGCCGTTTGGCAGAACGGAGGAGCCGCAGAGGGAAATAGAGTAATGTTGGTGCTGGTCGTGTGTGAAAGAGTGTGTGCTTTGGGGCTGGGCGTCTGTGTGTATATATGTCTATGGACGTGCGGCGTGTGTGAAATGGGCAATGGAGGGATCTTACATGAGATTCTGCGCCGGGCAGGATATTGCGAGGTAGGTAATATAATGGACGGTATAGACAGCTGGATGTAGCACAGATGGTTGGTTGGAAGATTCGTTGGGCCGTGAAAGAAGAAAAGAAGGGGACAGGGCGGAGATGAGGACCAGGCGGGTCGAGATTGAGTGGCAGGCAGGCGGCAGGATGTGCGTGTATGTAATGTATGTGTATGTATGTGTGTGTGTGTGTGCGAATGTATGTAATGTCATACGTAGCAAGGGTTACTCTATCACCGGTCAAGGACGTATTGGAATGTCTCGAGTGCCCTCGGCCGAAGAAGCCATTGCTTGCCTGCAAGGATCCGTCAATGGGCCAGAGAGAACTGGGGAAGACGGCGCGAGCAGAGTGGGCTGGAGAGGAGGAGAGAACAAGCGCAGAGGCAGCACTGGTTGATGGATGGGGGGGCCATAAGAGAAGTCCGATATTGCCTTAGTCCAGGCTTTACTTTTTCTCTTCTGTTTGACTTCGCACAGGACTGGACGGTCCGACGGTGGTGGCAGCCAGACCGACTCGAGAAAGATGGAGAACGGACATGCGCCGGGTGCGGGCGTAGATCCATGGCACTCTCATCTGTCCAATCCACCAAGCTGGGCATTTTTTTTTTTTACCTACTTTCTCACGTTAATCTGGTTTTTGGCCGCCTCCCGCCAGAGCATCGCCCAATGAGTGGCCGGATCAGATGGAGGGACAGCAGACAGACAGGCGGGAGAGCTGGTGTGACTGGCGATCCACCCACTCATTCACTCCCTCCTCGTGTCCCACACACCAGCAGCTACGTCTTATTTTACTTTTCCTTCCCCTGTGCCTGAACGTGCTTTCTACAGACACGCCCCGGCATGGAGAGCCGCCCTCATCCCTAGGCCCAGGCAATTCAAACGACAGAGCACAACATACTAGCACGTAGCACATATGTGCGTGGATAGGGCCGGCAGGGAGGGCAGAACAGGGATCAAGAGCTCACTACGTATGATCTACCGTGGTTCCGGGGAACGGGGATTGCCAGGGTGTGCGTCTTGCAATATTGATGCGCTCGCTCGGTGGCTGGCTTGGGACAGGACGGGCCTGGAGACGATGAATGCGGATATGGAGATGGCGGCCATGGCGGCGGCGGCGGCGGAGCTATGGAACGGCCGTATGTACGCGGCAGAAAGTATGTATGCGAGTAGGGAGGTATGTTTCCAAGTGAGGATGCCACGTACTGCTGGCGTGAGCAGCACAGAGTTTGGAGATCTTCAAAGACAGACGAGCCGGCGGACCCACGGGAGCAGGACCCTTGAACATACATACCTACGTGTATCAACGAGTCCATTGCACGTACGTAGACGCTAGCAGAGACGGTCAATGACTGGCTTCAGCCCACACGGGGTGGTTCCTGAGGCGCCCGAGGGATTCGGTCTCTGCCCTTTCCCCTGGCATCTGCGACCCCAATTGCCGGCGCATGAGCTAGAGGATGACAGCAATATTGGAACAGCGGTTGCTTTAATAGGATGGCGAATCAGGAGAGCAAGATGCCCTGGTCGCAAGGGAAAGGAGGAGAGAAGAGGAGGAAAAAGAAAAGAAAAAATCAGCCCAAAAACCGGAGACATATTATGGATCAGATTCAGATATGTCACCCAAGGAAAGCGAGACAGCGGGTGGTAGCATTGGATGGGTGTATCTGGCTGCCATGCTCAGCGGTCGATGAGCCCAGGCAGACCCCAGAACGGCCCCGATCTAGCAGCATCGGATTGGGCCTGAGCATATGTGCACCCAGCAGGGGCGGTGAATGAGATAGAGTATGTGCTGTGCGGTGCTGGCCCCAGGCCTGTGTGTGGCAGTGGAGGTACACCTACCTGACTTTGGGGTTCTGGGCGGAGGGGCGGGCGGTCGCTTGGAACCGGCGTTTGATGGCTCTATCGCCGGGGCAGAAATATGGGGGCCTCCGAGAGCTGCCAGGGCGCTAAGCTCAGCACCGGCTGCCCTACTGTAGCATGTGCGTCTGTACGGTAGGTACTAAGCTGGGATAATTCCGAGCAGTCAATCGAATGCGCAAACCAATGGATCCGTCCCAGCGGCGCTTGACCTCCAGTCGATCCGTGGCCTGCCAGCTGGCCGCCATGCCCTGCCCTGCCCTGCCCTGCCCGATGGACCCAGAGTTCCGTGACACTGGGACCAAGAACCAACACATTCGCAAACGGCTGCCGAGAACGGGGCCTTTTTCTACTTTTAACCGAGCATCCTCGTCTGACCAGCGACCAATCACAACGCCCGTCGCCACTTTCTCTCTCGCCCGTCGCCACTTTCTCTCTCGCCCGTCTTCTTTTCTTTTTCCTCAGCATCCTCTTTTTCCCCAACCATTGGATCGACTTGAGACACGAGCGGTTATGGGGAGGGGATAACCCGGTAATGCTGCCTGTTTGAACCCATCACAATCACTTGATCATTCCACTTTTTAAGGAGAAAAAAAAGGGAAAACGGGGTGAGGAGACAAAAAAGAAAAGAGAGAATGGACTACTTGTCACCGTGACAAGATGCTGCTGCCATTGTCCGCAACCACGGCGATATCTCTTGTCCGTCCGGGCGTGTCTCTATTGCGGTGTACGTAGTTACGAATTAGCCAGCATCTAGGCCTAGCTGCTGAGAGACCAGTCCGGCATTGGGATCTATTGGCTGTGGTTGAGAAATGACCATGTTGGTTATCACTCTCATTAAGCTAGTGAACAGAGCTTCCAAACTCTTGTACACACACGCACACGAAAAAAAAAACCAGCTTAGCTGCCCAGGCCTACCTATTGCCCAACCTTAATCCGTACTCGTATGTAATGGATGTGAGTGTGTACTAATTCGGCGCATTGCACATGCCGCAACTGCCGGATGTGTAAGGTAGGTAACTAATGTACTATTTGCGGCCATGGCTGCAGCCTCTGCCGCCAACACCACCATCGCCACCGTACATTAGTCGAGCCAAGTCTGCCCAGCCTGGATATCAACGAACAGGTTGACATGTGCGGGTGGGAGACCCGGCCGCAAGGCGTCGTCTACTAGTCGTTATTGGCGAATGTGCCTGACGAACACAACTGTATCGTGTGTAGCCGCGTGGGCACTGAGTTTACGGAGCAGCCAAGGCCATTTACAATCTACAATGACGTGCCGGGCCAGGCTGATGGGCGAACCGTTTGCAACACATAGGGACCATCGCTTGCCATTCAATTGCCTTGCCGTCGATCAGCCCAGCCCAGCCGAGGCAGCGCGGTCGTGGCTGACCAGCTGGACGACCAAGGAAATAGCAGCTGGGGGAGCGAGGTTCAGCTCTGCTCGTCTGGGAGCTACTGATGTAGATGTCGTCCTATCTTGGAAGCCAGCATCGGCCGTTTCGTCGGCGTGCATCAAGCAAAGCCATGGATCAAGTAACGCTTACGGTTGGTTGGTTCGTGGAGTCGCACGACAGATGGCTGGTTGATTGGCGGGGCCTCGTCCTCTTTTTTTTGAGACGGTCCGGATGGGCAGCTGGCCCATGATAGCTGGCTGACTGGATGCCGGATTGATGGACGGGGACTCGCGGCTGGTGACGCTGCAATGCGCTGCGCTGCACTGCAGGTATTTGCCTCCCGTCGGCCACAGCATCGGCCGACTGCTTTGCATCCGTCCGTAGCTACTGCACCCTGCAAGTCAGCCCCATCGCCATGCAGAGCCCCGGCCTGGTCTGCTGCTGGTCCCCTGTCCTTTCCCACGTAGGCAGTGAGGGGACATGATGCACGGAACCAGCGCGGCGGGAACCCACTTGCTTGACTTCACTTCCGCTTGCGGGACAGACCATCCTCACCACACCTGGCACGCCTCACCTGACCTGCTCCGAGCGGCAAGCCCCGGGCGAGGAGGAGGAAAGGCGGGAAGAGAGGTGAGAAGACAGGAGGAAAAAAGTGGATGGGATGGGATGGGACGGGGCAAAGTTACGCAGATGGTGCCGCATCACCAGCTACCTATGCAAGGATGGACGAAAGCAGCGAGATGCGCGAGCTGATCTTCTCGTTCTGCTCCTCGCTGTCCCATCGCCGGATCTCACCGGCCCAGGACACATTTTGCTGGGCCATCGCCATGGTCTGGGGAGTTGGGCCGAGACGAGCCTCCACCCGCGTTCGAGCAATCAATCAACGCGAAGACGAGCACTAGGTGACAAGATGGACAAGGCTCCCCCTAGCCGTGGATTTCCATCCCATCCCGACCAATCTCCTGCCAGAGCCAGCCAACTGCGCGCACATGTGCCTCCGGGCGTTTCGGTCTGCCCGTTTGCCAAGACAGGTGAACAATGGCAGGAAAAGGGGGGAAGCGGTACAGAAATCGCCTTTGCCGCTCTAAGCGTTGGGTCTGTGGCCTCCAAAACCAAGCAGCTTGACCGCCCATCCCAAGTCAATGCGTAGGTCTTGCTGACCGAGCTTCGCTACGTAGTTGCCTTCTCGCCTTCACCTTCTAAGAATCCATTGGGTAGAGGAAACGGTCTGCTGCTCCCCACTGTGACGAGGTGAAAAGTCTCAGGCATCCGCTCGACAGCATACGTAGAATGCTACGCGCCTGATTGTGTAATACTGAGATTGCCTGGGTTGGACCGTGATACCCGCGTACAGCCAGCTCTCGGAGCAACAACCCAGAACTCCATTCCAACCATCGCGTCTCCCCTTCTACTGTGAAATGTGATACGGCCTAGGAACCAACCAACCGCTGAGGTATGCGAGACACACACGGCCCCTCTATCTGGGGAAGAAATTCCTCCACAATTGGGAGTGGCCTTTTGCTCTCGCGCTCTGCTGCAGTACCACGCTGTGTACTGGGGTAGTTGCTCGACCGGATCACAAGCCGGCGAGGGCGCGTTGGCGAGGTAATTGGAATCAAACCAAACCTGGGGAATCCCAAAGAGAAACCCATCCAGCAATTTAATTACCTTTCCACCTTGTATCGCAGACCGAGGCAGCTCCCTCACCGCCTGACCCGATTCGGCGGACAAGCTAGCACGGTTCTGCCGGACAAATCGGGCCACCCCACTACAGTGGTCGGCGCACTCACCGCTTTCTTTTTCTTTCTGCCGTGCGCGGACGGTTGGTCATACATCGAGGCTGACCGCAGAAAAAAATCAAATCACGACCACATCTACGCTGTCTCCCGACCCTGCCCCCAAGAGATCCGAAACGACCTGATAATAAAAGCCCGCCGAATTAAATAAAGCTACAATGTCCCGCGAAGGATACCAGGTCCCCACCGCCAGCGCTGGCTCCGGAGCCGTTGCCCGTGGCTCGACCGGCATGCAAGACACTCGCTCCTCCGTCATGAGCTACCTCTGCGGTGACTGCGGCGGCTCCGTCCATCTTGGAAAGGATTCCACTGTCGCCTGCCCACACTGCGCTGGCCGCGTTCTCTACAAGGAGCGTACAAAGCGGTAGGTTTCCCGGAAGCTCTCTGTCCATTTACGTGCCTCTTTGTGCACACGGACTGGAGTAGTCAAGCTCTCCCATGCAAAAACAAACCGCTTGTTCATTTGTGGCTAACCCATCGTTTTCTTCATTGCCTATAGCATGGTTCAGTTCGAGGCTAGATAGAGCGCAATCCGCCTCGACGGCGAATAAGCTTGTGATCGATGCATATATCCACGGAACGGGAGAGGAAGGACGAGTGCCTTGGTGTGCAATTTGGGTTTGGTGTATGGGAGTTATTCTTTTAACTAGAGAGGGGGGAACGCATTTTTCACGTCCTGCACCTGATCGGCCTGGCCTGGGAGGATGACGGTGGCCGACGAAGCATGGAGTGATGCTCCCTACGTGATGGCGACACGAAAATATCCGTCTCATTTAAATACTTGCCAAGTCTTTTCCTTTGGTTGGACAGCCACCTGGAAGATAGTAAACCGATACGTGAGGATACTAATGTATTTTCCACTGCCGTTTCTCTGGCAAATCATATCATATCATATTAACTCCTATTGTTCTAAGACGCCCGATGCCCAGATTCCCTTTGCCTTGTTCTAATACAGCAGTTCGCCACCTTCTTCATATCATCCTCGCTTGTACAGGTACTTGGCGAAGCTTGCATCTGCCATGACCGAGTCGTCCTTCTCCCCCATTGCTGCTTGGTATCGTGATTGCAGCCCCTCTGCATCATTCTCGTCCTCGTCCTCGTCCTCGTCATCATCAACGTCGCTGGCGACGTCAATATCATCGTCATCATCCCCGGTGCGGAGAATGGGAGCCACGGCACCGACAGACATGCCCTGCATCATCTTGTCAAGCTCCTTGTCACGGGACTTCTTCCTTGCCTCTTCCCGCTCTTGCCTCCGTCGCTGCAGCTCTGGGAGGTAGTCATCAATGAATTCCTTCTTCTTCTCCTCAACAGCCTCGAAGAACTCGTCGATCCCGGTTCCCACCTTTGAGCTTACCCCGACAACGCTGAGGTGGGAGTAGAACTCTTCGAGCATCAGACTCATAGAGTTGAGCAGGCTGCCCATGTACCCGCTTCCCCCGTGGCCGGATGCGCCCTCGCCGCCGCCCATCATATCCGCGTCCTCGTCGCGGCGGAGAGCCTCCTGGAAAGCCTCAAAGTCGGTCATCCACTCTTTGGCAAATGATGCATCCTTGACATCGGTCTTGTTGAAGACAAGGATCATGGGGAGCTTCGTCTTGTAGAGAATGGAGCAGGCGTAGAGCATATTGGACATGAAGGTTGACGTTGATGAGGTGCGTGGCGTGTCGATGATATAGGCGATGACGGTTGGGAACGAGCTCGCTAGACTTTCCAGCAGGATGGTACCGGACGCTGACCAGACGAAGACCTCGATCTGTCCTGGCGTGTCGACAAGAATGTTCTCGATGGGCTTGCGGTCGGGAACCCCGGGGTCTGGTACTGCGCGCTTCTCTAGCAAATTGACAATCTGGTCGACCTTGGTGGCGAAGAGGTTCAGAGAGGTGAGGATACCGCCGTTGGGGCCGAGATTGTACTGTTTCATGACCTCTTCGTAGTTGACCGAATCGCGGATGTCAATATTGGACTCGAAGGGAACGTTGAGGACGGCAGGATCGAGATTGATCACATAGGGCGGCGTTTGCTTCGAGTGAAGATAGGCGTTGATTCGTCGCATGAAAGTAGTTTTTCCAGAGCCTAGGCAGATGAGCCAATATCAGCATCATAACCTAGAAGACGAGAATTAACTGGACGAACCTGCCATGCCAATACAGACGATGGCCGGGGGCATCGACGCTGCATCGACTGGCGCAGCAGTCGCCGATGCTGATGCCGATGCCATGACGAGGCAGAATTCCGGATTTCTTTCCGCTTGGATCGAGTTGTGATTTCGTCTCGAGTCTCAGCTTCTGTCTCGCCCAGTCGAATTGTTGGTCGTCGAGGCGAGCGCTGCCTGCGAGGTTGGAAGAAGCTGTTGTTGTGCTGTGGCTACAAATGGGAAAATTTGCCTTGGCGGGCACTGGCAGAGCCTCCAACAGCAGCTTTTCTGAAGTCATACCTTAGTGCTGCCCCGCGCGGGGCCCATCCATCCTGGACCGGGATATCCACCAAGAGATATCCATCTGATTACATGAGCAGGAGGACGGCAGTCGCACGTATTAATGTAGGTATGTATGTATGTGTATATTAACATCTATTTCTATCTGACCAGTCTCAGTTTCTGGAATACTGCCTGGCATCAGCATTCAAGTGCAAGACAGATCTCTGTGAATAGGTGGCTTGTTCATTAATCACCCCATCAACAAATAACTATCCTTGGTAAGAGAATTCGACGTGATCCCTGCCCCTGGCCCGACGCCTTCTGCAGTTTTCCACATACAATATCGAAAGAGCACTCGGTTTGAAAAACAAAATGGTTAAATCCCCCATTGCTAGAAATAATGGGCATCAATCAGTGTGCAAAGCGCATTGCCCGCCCGCCATGTATACCTCATCAGAATGACCCATTCTCCCTTCCTCAGCCTACCCTTAGTCCGAGAGTGACTAACCATCAGTGCCGCTGCTTCGGAATGTGGCGCAAAGTGCCGCGTAGTGGTGTGTGAGATCCAGTACGGTTTGTGGCAGGCTTGTTGCTTGCACAATACTTCGAACCTTGACGGCCCCTTCATCCTCAATCAGACTCCTGATTGTGTGCAAAAGCTCGGGGCTGAACTCGCTGTACCAGCGGTACTGCCAGGCAACCAGTCTAATCACCGACTGGACCATGTCCCTGGTGTTCTTGTCGTGTTTGTAAACACGCAAGATTCCAGCAAGCGCCTTGGGGCTGAACCGAAGTGACAGACAGGCACGGTACGCCTCGACAGCTTCATCCAGATGCTGTAGCCGCTCAGCCAACGATCCCAGAATCGCCCACTCCTCAGCGGATTTCTTATACTGGAGCTGTTGAGCGCGGTATTGCGCCATCTGTGTACGCCAGATGGTGTAAACCTTGAGATCCTCATAGAGAACCATGAACAAGCTGTCCAACCACCTCTCACAAAGGCGCTTGGTATTGAGCTTGGATAGATGGTCATCATTGGAATCGCCCTGCGCATGTCTGATTAGCCCGCTACTCTTTACAATTGTGACGGAAAATGAGCTCCCAATAAGGTCAATAACACTCTACTCACATTTTCCGTGTCACCAGGATCGATCGCACTCGAAGGTCTCTCAACCTCGCCGACCTCGACGCCGGCGCCACCGTTGACCCTCAGGGCATCCGTAGCCGAGTCGTTCTCGCCCATCTTGATAACCGTCTCGTCATGTTCGTCATCCTCAGACTCATCATCGCCGTTCGCGGTAGGAACTGGGGTGCCTCGAAGACCATCAATGCTAGGGTTTCTCCTCGACGCCTCGTGCTTCTCTGTGCGGTACTCGTCTTCCATGACGAATACGGTGCTGCGGATTTTTAGAAGTTGGTCCCAACCAATTTTGGCTGTCATTTCTGTTAGAATATTGTACGCCTGCTTGAACGTGCCCTTGTAAGATGCTGCTCGCAGACCAAGGAGGTTAGGGTCAACTTGATCTGAGAATCGTCCTTCGGGTTCGCTATCGATTTCGTCGAGTCTGGTTTCGGCGAGGGTTGGCAGCTGCACCTCTCTAGGCTCTGGCATGATTGGAGTATCCTTGTCCTGGTAGGAAAACATGGGGCACGAATTGAGAATCGTGAGTGCATTCTCCCAGTCTTCCATGGCCACATAGACCTGTGCTAGGCGAGCCCAGGTGCCGAATTCGCTAGGTGCCGCGATCGTGCCGCGATCTGCGCACTTCAGCGCCATCCTCAGCCTCTCTTCCTTGAGCTCGAGCGTGGGTGCGGTCTTGGCCTTGTGTAGCAAAAACTCTGCCTGGGTGTCGAGCATGACATAATCCATGGGAATTTCGAGTAGAGCATGATGCAACGTCCTAACACCTGCAACCTCCTCATTGCCCATGAATTGAACCTTGGCCAACAGGGACGATACTTCAACACTCTGAGACCGGAGCTTTTCGAACAGGTTAATTCCGGAAGCATATCGACCCGTCGTCTCCAGGTACTTCAGAAGACCAACGGTGAGGTGGTTGGATACGTTAGTTGGCACTTGTACAACAGAATCCGAACCCAATTGGTAACCTGTCATGAGATCGAATTAGCAGGTTGACCAAGGCAAACCAAGTCTCGCGAATTTCCGATCACCCACCTCTGAAAAAGAGTTGCTCTGCGGAGTGGAGGAACCGGTGCTCTGTCTCGGTATTGGTGACCGGGTTGAAGCGACGTACTCCCATAATCTTTCGGATCGTCTCGCCGCTACCATCATCGGCGTATGAATATGCTCGTAAGACACTGCAAAGATATGTCTCCAGCCAGAGTTCGTCGGTGGCTTTTCTCTTATCGCCTCGCTCGTCCACGCAGTAGCTCTCGACAGTTCCAGGAATGGAAACATGTATACGCATATCCAGTCTCGAGAACGCATTGTAGCAGCTATTTTGGTCAATCAGCCTTCCGTACTCTGCTGGGAATTCTTATGATCGAGGGCGAGGGATGGGGGTGGCGTACCAGTACACGCCTTCGACAATCTTGTTAGTCGCATTCGGGCCGTGCTCTCTGTAGGTTAGAGTGTTGATGTATGCTGCCAGGCTGGCAGAGGAAGAAGCGTCGACGCCGGTGACATGGTGATAGATACCAATCTGCCAACATTAGTGCATGATCCAACCGGGGATCCGGCCAGGGGCACCATCCTCAATACATACCTGCTTCCCCTGATTGCGAATGCCCTGCTTCACCAAATGAACCAGATCCGGAGGGCCGAGCTCCCGAAGACTCGAGAGCGATTCGGTTCGAGCATCGAGCGATTCGTGGAGCACCTCCTCTGTAAGCCTGTACGGACAGCTGTCAATCACTGTAGATGCGACGAAGGGATCAGAGAAGATAGCAAAACATACTCAGGGACAGCAGGCGCAACCATGGCGACAGTGATGGGCTTTCAAGCTCCCTTGACGCCGTCGAGCAGTCCTGGGGAGATTCGCGACACGCTAATGACTCCTGGAACTAGCAAGCTGGTAACTCGAGCCCGATCGATAACGGTCGAACTCTCAGTGACAAGGAATGCAAACGAACGAAAGGAGGAAACACGGAGTATTCGACCCAACGGGCGCGGCTCATGCAGTCGCTTAATTCAGGGGGTGTGGCTCTGGGGCGTTATCCAGCTTATGAGCTGCAACCATGATACTAGGTAATTAGTCGTCGTGGCTTTTGTTGGAGCTACAATGCTTCGGACGAAGTTACGCCACAGCTCGCGCCCCAACCTTCCCAGCACCACCGACACCTCAGGTATCCATATTTCAGTCGCTTCGACCCACATAACGCTGCCTTACCTTGCCAGGCAAGTGGGTGACATTGAAATTGAGACACCTAATGGAAGAGTTAGCTAGAAACAGACTACTTTCTACAATAAATAGAGAAATATAGTAGTATAAAATGAAATAAGGTGATAATATACACTATATTATCTCTGAAATATATCTTATTAGCACTTAATAGTCTGATAATACCAGTCGCAGACTCAAAAATAAGTAGCTTAATGTTTGAGTGTCTCAATTTCAATGTCATCCACTTGCCAGGTAACCTTACAGGCGGCCTAAGGTAGCGCAAGGCGCCCCGATAAGATAGCGAGCGTAAATTAAATGGAACAAAGTGGTCGCGTCTACGATGGACGCGCATTTGAGATCGGAGCCGAGACGTTCGAAGCTTCCCCATTGTCCGCCAACCTTGGGGAACGAGATTAAACACCACCCAGCACACTACATCTACATTCACGACACTGCACGCTATTCGCATGGGAGGGAGTTATTTTACATCACACATATGACGGCGGTCTTGCTGTAGCTGTCTGCACTTGCGACGATAACCATGGTGAGCCAGGAGAGAGCCTTGACGAAGAACATGACTGCTGACTCCGTTCGCAGCCGGGTTTCCAAGCTATCAACCTCGAACCAGAGGAAAACGTCGATGAGCTGATCGATACCACAAAGGAGATACATGTGCGTGCCTGCCTCTGCACCTAGATATCATGACCATTACTGATGCTTGACTAGGTGGACGAAGCACTCAAACGGTTCCAAAATGCCCTTCGGCTCCATGCGCAGGGTTCCAGATCGCGTGAAGCTGCCGAATCAGCCTACACGGAGCTCTTCAACTCTGAAGTTTTCAAGTACCGCGAGGCCCAGACAGACTACGAGCGAGCAGAGCGTCATGCTGGGAACGTGACCGAACCGCAAATTCTCGACTCCTTTTCAGCAGGATTAGACATTGATGCTGGCGGTGCCGATGGTGTCGCTGCTAGTCTTTCTCTGGCACTATATCTGGGATACAAAAACTATGGCGAATTCTTCCTTGACAAGTTGAAGGATAAACTGCAATCGGACCCGGATGTGAAGAAGGCCCGAATATTCTTCCATAAAGATGGTGCAAGCAAAATCTTGGAAAATTGGGCACGAGCTTTGGACCAGGATCCTTCCGATCCCGAAGTCTGGCGTAGAGCTGCTCGCTTCGGTGCTGCTCTGAACAGCGGAAGGCTCAAGCGCTATTGTCTGGAGGCGGCCATTGAGCTAGATGATGATCCAGCAGTTATGGAAATCGATCCACCTTCGTTAGCCGAGGGTCTAGCTGGAGAGCAGTTGAAGGACCAGTTGAAGCTCCTCCACGACGAAATCGCCCTCTCGCACCCAGGGATGGCACCCTGGATGAAGAAAGAAATGCCATCGATGATCAAACGACACCTCGATCCTATACCATATCTCCCCGACCCGACCCAATCGTTAACACCACCCCCCTCGACCCCCGCGGAATCTGACAAGCTCCTAGAAGAGGACGAGCCTGAGCCCATGGACGAGGATCATGAGCTGGAATCAAGTTCATCTTGGCCTAGCTTAGGTCTCCGTCTGATGAAACACATTGAAGATAACAAGGCTGCGTTGCGAATTTGCCAGGAAATCCCACAAGTCTGTCCTCCAGAAGACGGCAAGGTCGCCAACTCAACACCTCCACAATCCACTGAGCCAGATAAGAAAGCCGATGAAGCTGTCAAAGATGGTTCGCGCGAGAAGTCAACGGATGACACGGACGAGAAGGCTACAGGAGACACTAAGAAGGAGTCAGGCCCGGCACAGAAAGGTTCAGACAAGCCTCAGAAAGAACGGAGTCAATCGGTACCAGCCACAAGAAAGCGCTCACAGTCTGTCGCCGGATTACCGGACGGGGCTGACGAGGAGAACACTGCTGAGAAGAGGAGTAAACGCGTCCGGCGACGGGAGACAGCAACCGCCGAAGAAGTCGCGGACCCCAGCACAATTATTGCGAACCAGCTCCAGCCATGCCATGACGCGGATAGCCACTTGTTTCACATGGTCCAGAACGTTGCAGAGAACCTAGGCGTTGAAGATAAAGGCGTCATTGACTGTCTCCTAGAGCTCCACCAATCCTCCACGGCTGAAGATCGCTTGGCCAAGGTGACACCGCTGGCTTCCAAAGACCTCCGAAGCGTTCTCACTGAATTCAGCGACAACACTGCTCGAGTACTACTCGATAAGAAGGAGCAGCCGACACTCAGCCTTTCCTCGTTTCTTGAGCACGCCAAGTCTGGATCACAAGACCAGCCTGAAACCGGGCCCTTTGACGAAGAGAAAGGCCTAGAGGCCTTTGCAGAGGAAATCGAGAAATATGGTCCATGGGCAACGGGTAGTGACATTGCCTTTGAATGGGTCAAGGCCATCGCGCCTAGCTACAAGTCTGCAAAATGGTCTGATACAATGAAAACAACCGTTGTTCAAATGCTCAATCGTGTTGATTCTATCTTGCTAGAGAGGGTCAACCACGACCTGAACTCGTTACTGGCTGCTCCTGAGCAGCTAGAGTCCCTCAGCCATATTATACCTATGCTGTTTGAACTTCACATTGACATTTATGAACGAATCACGAATCCGAATAGCGTGGTAGATTACGCTACTCGTGTGGAGACAAAGGATCGTCTCAATAGATGGCTTGGCATCGCTTCGGGTTATATCCAGCGTCTTAACCTCCCGCCGAGCGATGAATTGAGTGTGCGATTCTTATGGGGCTCGGTCCTTGTTTCCGCGCTTGTAGAGGAACCAGTCCGCGAGCATATCCTTCTCATGTGGACTTCTCTCAGAGATTTCATGTCTGATCAAAAGGTGGAACTAATATCTCTTCCAAACAACGTGGTGATGCCAATAATCTCCCCGGCTGCTGCGGATCGCGAGATTTCAAAACTCACCACAATGGATTTCTTTCTCGGCCTGTTTCAAGAGGAGATGAAGAGTCCAATTGAAGTGATTGAAACACTGGAGCCTGTCTTGAACCCTACATCTGTACATGTCGCTCCCGAGCCGCCGACGCCTACCACGTCTGCGGACGATGAGTCCGTCAAAGAACAAGCCCAGGATGGGGGGCAACCGATCTCAGATTGTGCCGGCCAGGGTCTGCGTGACCTATGGAAGTTTTTGCTCACCAGCAGCACTGAGCTAAGACTTTTTCTGTGGTCTCGATTAGGAGATGCATACCTTGCCATTGATTATCCAACCAAGAAGTTTTCTTGCTATTTGAAAAGTATCGAGATGATTGTGGCCGATCTCGAGGCTGAAGTATACACTAAGACTGCCTATGAATCTCGAAGGCTGCTTCTGATGAGAACCCTGAAGTCTTTGGACGAACAGGTTATTCACGCCCTGACCATGAGCTTGAATGAACCTAGTGCCTTTGACATCATTGACGAGGAGCATATCAAGTCAAGCGTTGCAGCAGTTGCTAAAGTGAATTGCCTCCTGCATGTCGCCGCCATTTGTGAAGATGATGTCCGTGTTGGAGTCACACCAGCGCCATCAAATAGTGCAACCTACACGGCCTTAGTGACCAAGATGCGCGAGATGCAGGTGCGCGCATGGTCGCTTCAATACACACTTCTCAAGGCCGGCATCCGCCAGCAAGGTTCCTTTATATCACCTGACAACGAGCTGGCTGACTTGCTTGCCGCAATTCACCATGCCATTGGGTTGCGTAAATACTGCAAGGTTTCCAATAAGATCTTCTTGAAGGTGATGCGAGCAGAGCTTCTCAAATTGAAGACGCTAGAAAATTGGGAGGATTATCTCGAACAAGTTCTATACGACCTCTACGGACTGAAACTTGGTGTTGGCGCCTGGGAGGTCCAAGAACATGGCGTTCCGCATGAGTCTTTAGAAAAGTCCAAGACGATGCAACTTGTCGAGAGAATCATGATACTAGCGAATCGTATGTCAATGAAGGATCTGCTCAAATCAGACCTCAAGACAACAATAGATCATATGCAGCAGACAATCGGCCAGCTGAAATCAACACCGCAAATGATTTTCAACTTGCGGAACTTCCAAGAATACTTGAAAAGGCCTATCCATCCCCTTCGAATGTACCGGGCACTTACCGGAAGCATCGATGTTGATGCAGTCTCAGTCAATGCCCCTGAATCGGGCATTGCAAACCACGGGTGGTTTTTCCTCCAGGGAATGCTGGCATTGACCAAATTCAAAGGCGTCGACCTCAACCGACGGCAAACTCCTGGAGCTACGGATGACTTGCGCATTGGTGCAACTTTTCTCAGACTGCAACTACAGTTCACCCCTGACCGCTGGGATGCATGGTTTCGCTTGGCTGAGTGTTTCGATTATGAATTGGATGAAGCCGTCCTGTGGACGGCTGACAAAATCAACAAGGATCGCAACGAACTTCTAAAATTCCAGCGGAGTGCTATTCACTGCTACACCCTTGCTCTTTCCCACTCCATCACTGTAGACGTTGAGGCCTACGAAGGGGATCCGCTACACGATCTCTATCATAAATTCGGCATGCGTCTATACGCCTCGAGTAGAGAGCCATTTGCAATGGAGCCCTTCAAGCACTCCGAGCAGGAGAGATTCTTTATCGAAACTATGAGTCTGGATGCTTTCAGCAGAATAGTTCATGATGAAATGACACAGTACAAGGTTTGGAAGTTTGCTGCAAAACTATTCAAAATGGCAATGAAGCGACAACCCAAAAACTGGAAGTGAGTATAGTTCTTCTGCAACTACTAGAGAGTCCGGCCAATTCGCTAACCTTGAATAGGAATTCATACATGTTGGCCAAGTGTTATTGGAAGATGTACCAAACACCAGGAGCTGATCTCGATCTCAAAGACCAGAATTCAAGGGTCAAATTAGAGACTTTGATTGATGCTCTCAAGACATCCGTGGAAGTTGCTCACAAGAACCGCAAGTCGCGAAGCAATGACGTTGTCCTTGAGCCGCACTACAAGATCATCTCTGTGCTCCACAAACTGGTCACGCGTGGTGATATCCCTTCCCTCGAAGCGGCGACAATTCTTTCCGAGCAGCCTTTCGGTATAGTTGTCGATCCAGATGACCACTTTGCTTCCTTTTCAGAGCCAGAGGATTGGGAAGAGTATGTTATCCGCAGTCTGACCAAGCTTCGAGATCGCGACAAGTCGAATTGGCAACACCGAATTATCATGCGACACGCCTGCATCCTCTTCAATGAAAAGTCGCCCGCCAGTATGGAGAGTGATAACTATGTGGAAGCTAAGGCCTCCTTTAACATTCTTCGCGAGAGCATGTTTACCAAGACCATGGTGATGAATGTTTGGAAATGCGATGCTGAGAGGCCTGGGCGCCACCATGTTTATACCGAACGATATATGCGTTTCATGACCAAACTACTCATTAACTTGTCAGACCGCGTCAACATGGAACAGCTGTTACGGCGTTTGCGCAAGAAGGGGGCGGACTTTTATCACTTCGTCGATCTGTGGCACACATGCTGCCTCGCTTATGTGAAGATGCTCCGCGATACCTATGGCATTACTCATTCGACGGACGAGGTCTTCAAATCCATGTCTAATGAAGAGTTTGAGATCATAACCGAGCGAATTACCGAATGGGCATCTGCTCAAGGACCGATGACACCTACATTCAGTTGCATGAAGGATGCCATCGAGTTAAAGAAACTGAATGCAAGTCTCACAAGAGTAGCACCTATCGACGACTTGATCAACGATTGTTATTCCAAGATCTACCTTGATGTTGCACGAAGTCTTCCTGGCCCAGAACCTGCCAAGGTTATCGAGGAAAGGAACCAGGCGAAGGAGGCCGTAGCCAAAGAGAACGCAGCAAAGGCGGAGGCAGAAGCTGCCGCCGCAGCCGCTGGAGAACTCCAGCCCAAGGCGTTGAACGGACTGCTCCCGACGTCTGAAGCGCAAGATAGCCGCGGGGCGACGCCAACTCCACAAGATTCAGAGAAACCCGAAGCTGGACCTCGCGCCCGACGAGTGGGAATTCGGCGACCTGAAGTCCTCCGTAAAGCAGAACAAGCTGTCATGCGGTCTATGGAGCCCAAGGCTGGCTCTGTCAAAGCTCGCTCTAGTAGTGTGATGAGCAAGCGGGGAAGCCAACGAGGTAGCCAGACTCCTGCTGCAGCCATGAGTGAGGATGATAGTGGCAGTGGCAGCGGCAGTGAGGAGGAAGGGCCCGATGCGCAGGTCAGGCGAGAGGCCGCAGAAGGACTAGATACTGAAGTCAAGGAAACAGACGGTGAGAGTCTGCACGAGCACGACCATGAACAAGATCATGACCATGAGCACGACCACGACCACGACCTCGACCTCGAGCACGAGCACGAGGAAGATGATGACGACAGTGATCTCAGTGACGTACCCGAGGGGTACGATGATGATATGCCAGATGGCTTACTGTTTGCCAACTTGAGGGGTCAGGCACCAAATGATGAGTCCAGTGGTGAAGATGCCGATAGCGAGAGTGAAGGTGAGGAGGATGATCAGGAAGATGATGAGACCGCTCTCGAGCATATGGATGAAGAACAAGATGCCGCTGAGGCCACACTTGAACATATGGATGAGGATGAAGATGAGCAAGAAGAAGGCCAAGAGGAGATCGCGGATGGTGTTGATGAAGATCAAGGGAAGGATCATAGCCGACTGGAACGTGCTCACAGAAGTGATCATGAAGACACCGAGATGACATATGGCGAGGACGAGCCGACGAGGGGCCCAGAAGGGAGCGAGGACGAGGAGGATGAAGATGACGATGACGAGGAGAAAGCAGATGAGACCATGTAGAGTAAATAATCAAGAGGACCAAATATGGCAGGGGCAAAAGAGGATTTGTAAACTGGCGTTCACATGGCCAATCGTTTCTCCCTAGAAAGATGACTGGAAATCAATCATAATATGTATATGATTTCATTGGGAACATAACCTTCAAATTGTTCGATGACCATCGTCCATAATCTTTACCATATGAGCTATGTACCAGCGGCACCGAGGGCTACACCCATTATACAGGGTTTGAAGAACAATAATAGGGCGCCCACACAATGATATCTCGCTTGGACATTTTAGCATTAACCAAAATATGGACATACTACGAAGATTGAACCAAAACTTTTACAAGCGCCATACACCACGAAAGCACCCAACTCCCTCGGCCATCCTTAATCCGCCGTCTGCCAACCGTAGCGACAAGCAAGCTACAGACCTAACCGTCCTCCTGATCCATGTCATCCCTTCTCCCTCTCTTGGCCCCGCGATTTTCTCGCATCGTCTTGCCGCGGTTTCCTCTCTGGTCTTGCGCATCTCTCATCTCCACCCTGGCAATCCTCTGTGCCTCTTCCACGCGAGTCTGGAAGGCCATCACCTCCTCCTTTTCTGTCGGGTACGCTGTGAGCTTCTTTCCTAGTGCAGCCTCAATCCGCTGGAACAACTCCAGGTCGTACTGGGTTGTGATACTGATGGCGACACCCGATTTCCCGGCACGGGCTGTACGACCGACACGATGGATGTAAGTCTTGGAGTCCTGAGGTAGATCGTGGTTCAGGACAACATCGACCTTAGGAATATCAAGACCACGAGCAGCGACATCGGTTGCCACGAGAATATTGCGAGCACCAGAACGGAACTTGTTAAGAGCCCCAAGACGAGCAGACTGTGAGAGCTGACCGTGGAGAGGGATGGCTCCAAATCCAAGTGTACGCAGGAGGATGGCAACACGCTGGGTCTCCCAAACCGTACGAGTGAAGATGATGATGGACTGTCCAGCAAAATCATTGACAAGGAAGATGAGGTAGGTGTCTTTTCGGACGTGGGGGAGGAAGACGTAGTGCTGCTTCAGTGTAGAGACAGTCTGGTACTTGTTGGAGCTAACACTCACGCGCACGGGGTCGCGCAAACTAGCTCTTTGCAGACTCTCTACCTTGGAGCTCATGGTAGCAGAAAAGAGGAAAGTTCGGCGCTCGCGTGGGACAAACTTCAAGATCTTGTCGATGCTAGGGCCAAAGTCCATGTCCAAGAGACGGTCCGCCTCGTCCATGACCAGGTACTTGAGGGTGCGCAAGGAGAACCCCTTGGTCTTTTCCAAGTGATCGACCAGTCGACCGGGAGTGGCGACGATGACGTGCGGCTTCTTACTCAGAGCAATAGACTGAGGCATCATATCCAGACCTCCAACAATAACGGCACATCGCAACGAAATCATGGAGCCAAGAGCCTCGAAAGCCTGTCCAATCTGGGTGGCAAGCTCGCGAGTTGGTGCAAGAACAAGACCAAAGAGTGGCTGGGGCTTGTCGAGCAGTGCCTGCAGCATTGGAAGAGCGAATGCGGCGGTCTTTCCGCTTCCCGTCTCTGCCAGTCCGATAATGTCGCGATCCTGGAGGGCAATGGGAATGGATTTTTCCTGGATGGCTGTGGGATGCTTGTAGTTGAGAGCCTCGCATGTTTCACAAAGGGCGTCCACGATACCCTGGCAATGGTCAATTACTCAAGAACATGGATATATCTACAGGCAGTGGCTTGCTTAGAGCAGGATGTTGCGAGCTTACCAAATCGGCGAACGTCTTCTTTGGCGCCTCTTCCTCGACAGAGGGAGCGTCGACAGTAGCCGACTCCTCCTCTCCATCCTCATCATCCTCATCTTCTTCTTCCTCTTCAGCTTCGTCTTCTTGTACCTCGCTCTCCTCGTTCGCAGGTGGCTTTGGTGGCGGTGGTGCTTTCAGAGAGGCACTCTCAATGTTGCGGACTTCGGTACTTTGGTGGTGTTTCTTGGGATCCCGGGCTCCGCTGGAGAGCTTCCTGCGCTTGGCGTCCTTCATCTCGTCCACGGGTGTGTATCCAGTACTCCGAACGATGCTGGCCGGACTCGAGTGGGAGAAGAATGAGTATCCGAAAGTTGAAGAGAGTTTGGCTGGATGATGGAAATTTTAGTGGGCCCCCTTATCCGGGTTCACAGTCTAACCCCTTCTGGACTTATCTAATCGTGAAGCTTATCGCCGCAACTTTTTTTTCTGATACTTTAGGACATCCCGAAACTCTTTGAGGTACTGATAAACCAATTGAATTCAACGTCGAATTGAATTGACGACAGCCCTCCATCGACAGAAACATGGCTCGCAAGCGCACCAAGAAGAGAACCCACCTGGGTGCCAGCAACCCTGAAGTTGACTCCGCGGGCCATGCATCGGCACGCGACCCCAAGAGCATGGTCATCCGAATCGGCGCAGGCGAGGTTGGCTCCAGCATCAGCCAGCTTGCCGCCGACGTGCGCAGAGTCATGGAGCCAGGCACGGCAAGTCGGTTAAAGGAGCGCAGAGGAAACAGGCTCAGAGACTACGCCGTCATGTGCGGACCGTTGGGTGTCACACATATGCTGCTCTTCTCCCGATCTGAGAGCGGCAACACCAATCTGAGAGTCGCGCTGGCGCCTCGAGGACCTACGCTGAACTTCCGTGTTGAAAACTACTCCCTCTGCAAAGATATCCAGAGGTCACAGAAGCATCCTCTGGGAGGCGGCAAGGAGTTCCTGACCCCCCCTCTGGTACGTTGGCAGCATCCTTCAAGACACACATCTCATAGCTAACGAACCAATCTCGCAGCTTGTGATGAACAATTTTACCCGCCCCGATTCTGGTTCCAATTCCAAAGTACCCAAGCACCTCGAATCTCTCGCCACTACTGTCTTCCAATCCCTCTTCCCACCCATCAACCCACAGACACATCCTCTGAAGTCGATACGACGAGTGCTTCTCTTGAACCGCGAGCAGTCCGAGACCGACGATGGAACATTCATCGTCAACTTCCGACACTACGCCATTACCACAAGGTCAACGGGTGTTTCAAAGTCGCTCCGTCGCATCAATGCGGCTGAGAAATTCCTGTCCACCAAGACTAGCCGGAAAGGAAAGGTGCCCAACCTGGGCAAATTGGAAGACATCGCCGACTACATGATTGGTGGTGAAGGAGGGGAGGGAGGCTACATGACAGATGTTACGAGCGGAAGTGAACTTGACACAGATGCCGAGATCGAGGTGATCGATTCCGCACCCCGCAAGGTCCTCTCATCGCGTGCCCGGCAAGCCGCAGCCCGTGAGGCCGAGGGCGAGGAGGAGGAAAATGTGGAACGACGAGCCGTCAAGCTTGTTGAGCTAGGCCCACGCATGAGGCTCCGGCTTACGAAGGTCGAGGAGGGACTATGTTCAGGAAAGGTTATGTGGCACGAGTATGTTCACAAAACTAAGGAGGAGCTCAAAGAGCTGGAGCAGCGGTGGGAGAAGCGCAGGCAGGAGAAGGAGGCCCGCAAGAAGGAACAAAAGGCCAACGTCGAGCGGAAGAAAGCAGAAAAAGCAGCCAGGGGCAAGAAGGGAGACGATGAGGATGACGAGGAAGGAACCGGCAAATATGGCGGGTATGACTATGACAGCGATATGGACGTGGATGAGTTTGACAGCGAGGGCCTGGAAGGAGACGCCGAATATCTTGTAAACAAGAAGATGGAGGAGGACGGTGAGTGGGAAGAGGAGGCGGCCGAGATTGCCGCCGGGCGATAGACGGGAGATGGGAAACGGAAAACTGATCTGATACCGGGTGAACTGTCAGCATATCGAGGACCAGTAGAAGACCAGTAGATAATAATTACGACCGGCACGGCGCTCAATCACCACCGTCCACATGAAACAAGGACCCAAGGGGAAAAAGAAAGGAGCATCGGCAAGGGATGCCGATCAACGGGCTGAAATGGACTGGGTTGGGCTGCTTGTCCAGGGTAAATTCAGACGAGGGAACAGCCGGCGTCAGACCAAAAGCTCAGCTCAGCTCAGCTCAGCACAGCACAGTGCGGTGCGGGTGCGGTGTCTTCCCTTGCCTTCCCTTCTCCCACGTACAAATTCTCGCCGGCCGTTAATCTCACCCATCTCAGACACACAGCACACACACGCACGCGACCGCTTTATCCCCTCTCCTGAGCCTGTCCCGCTGCTGCGTTGCGTTGCCCTGCGTTGTGCTGGCATTGATCTAGCCGTGATCATACACACTCACTCACACACACCCATATATATATGCACCTTCTCACGCCCGCCGGTCTTGTCTACTTCCACCGGTGATTCCAACGTCTCTCTTCCCAGACTCTCTCTTTTCCCTCTCCGTGAAAGTGAGCAATGTTTCGCCAAGCAGCCCGGAGCTCGACGCTCACAGCAACGACAGCATCCATCCTGCTACGTCGGAATCTGTGCCCCCGAACCCTCCTTGCCTTTCAGAGACGTGCTTACACCTCGGCTTCCCAGAGTGGGCAGACAGGAACGTCATCAGCCTACCTGAAATGGGGTGGACTGGGTGCCGTCACTCTCCTGGGGTCGGGCGCCTACATCTCTTCGAGCAGTTCACAGGCAGAAGGGGATCCCCCCAAGGCAGCTGCTTCAGAGCACATCCCGACTATCAACCAATTAGCGTCCGAGGATGACATTGTGGTCAGGTCACCTATCAAGGCCCTGAGCCTCAAGGATGCTGACGAGAAGCTGAGGGAGAGTGCTCGAACGTTCGTATTTGACAGCAAGGATGGGGCCAAGGGGAGAATCGATGTTGTTTGTCTGCCCAGTAACCATCCCAAGGAAGACGACTGGTCCGTCGGTACAGCAAAGGGGATCGGCGGTGCCGCAACCGTCTACGCGGGTGTGTATGACGGCCACGTGTGAGTAAGAAGGGGTGGTGTGGAATAGCCAAACGAGACGAGCATTTGGAGTTGATACTAATCGCACCAGCGGATGGGCCATGTCGACGATACTGCGAGAAGCCCTCATCCCCTATGTGTCTACGGCACTCAGCAGACTGTCATCCGCAAACTCGGAGGAGGCCGTCGCCGCCGCCATCAAGACTGCTTTCACGAAGCTCGACGACCGCGCCATGAATACGGGCACAGAGGTTGCCGAGAAGCTCGGCGCAGGTTCAGCAGAGGCCGTGGCAGCCCTCGCACCCGCCTTTGCCGGCTCCTGCGCCCTGCTGACTATCTACGATCCCATCGCGTCCGTGCTGCGAACTGCCGTCGCCGGTGACTCTCGCGCGGTGCTTGGCTACCGATCCGCCACATCAGATGACTTCCAGATGGAGGAATTGAGTCTCGACCAGACCGGACTGAACAAGACCGAGGCGGACAAGATTTCCAACGAGCACCCGGGGGAGAAGGAGCTCATTCTCGACCCCAACAGCGGCAGGCTGCTGGGTATGGCCGTCACGCGGAGTTTCGGAGACAGTCGGTGGAAGTGGCCCCTCGAGCTACTCCAGACCTTGAGAGAGAGCCACCCGGGCAACGTACCTCGCCCAAACTACAAGACCCCTCCCTACATGACCGCGGAACCTGAAGTTACGACTCGCGTAGTGTCATCTGACGACTTCGTCATCCTAGCTACGGACGGGCTCTGGGATCACATCTCCAGCGAGGACGCCGTCAAATGCGTCTCTCGCTGGCTCCAGGCCCGCAAGGCCAACAAGCCCGAAGCGCAGCCCCCGACCCAGGGGTCGATGGAGGTTAGTAAGTTAGGCTGGTCATACTGGAACAGCACGCCGGAAGACTTCATAATTGAGGATCTAGATAATGCATCCGTGTGTCTCGTCAAGAACGCCTTCGGGGGTGCCCGGAGAGAGCTGTTCAGGACGGTCATGACGGTGAGGGAGCCAGCGAGTCGGTACTTTAGAGACGACGTAACCGTTCAAGTCATTTTCTTCAAGGACCCCTACAGAAAATGACTAACGAGTGCCAGACGAGGGAGGGGGGGACTCATTAGCTGTTGATTAGTAAATCCTCATGGATAACCAGATTGAGAGAGTATTCACATATTGCATTAATGGCTTGCGAGGTCGGCTTACGCGTACAGTATTACCTACCTGATCTGGGCCCTTTTACCTGGGCTGATGATACCCCAGAAGTATGTGACGTCCACATCGGAGACATATTCTTATCTGCGTACAAGCCCTTGGGGTGGGTGGTTGGTTATATGGGAATACAGACACGAGAGGAAATGGAGATTCATAATTCGTGAAAAGGATCAGAAGACGAATTTGAAGTCTTCTTGCAAGTCAGCCTATACAGATCTTAAACGCTACCATGTGGTATTATCCTCCAAACGCCAATCGTGTCAGCCTCCCAACGCCAGTTTGAGAACAGAAAAAGTAAAGACGATGATGATCAAAACTCCCATGTCCTTCTAGACAAATGACAAAACCTTGATCCACAAGGAAATGGTCCCAATTTCGTTCCAAGTCCTCAAATTATCGGTATTCATCCTCCTCCAGCCCATACTCGGCATCCATATCAGGATTGTCATCGTCCTCATATCCACCGTTGAACTCGTCTCCGCCAGCAAACTCCTCGTCTCCATGGCCTCCCTCGTACTCTCGAGTCTCGTCGTAGTCATAAGTTTCCTCTTCCTCTTGGTAGTCTCCAGCAACACTTTCCTGCTCTGGTGCCTCCTCGTCTTCTGCAACGCCAAGGGTACTGCCAGCCATACTTGTCTTGCGACTGGTCGCTTCCGATCCAAGCCCGCCACCGTTGGGGTTATCAAAAATGCTGCGAATGGCATCGTAATTAATTCTTTTGGACCAAGCCCGGTCCTTGGCAACGTTAATGGCGGCTTCTGCTGCAGAGCTGGCCGGACTAGTTTGGCCTTCGCCCATTCTTGCTCGCTTTCTTCGTCGGCGAGTCTGTTTAGGTCGATCGGCCTCGATTTTTCGGCGGAAGACCTTCTCTTGATGCTGTCGGAGCCACTCTTTATTCTGATTGACCCAAATTGTCTCCTTGATCCGCGCCTCCTCTGGGGAGAGCAGGCAGTTGATCACTTCAGGATCGTCTGCAAACTCGTCCTCATCAATGTCAGCTGACATGGAAACCTCCTTTTGGGGCCGTTGCTTGAGAGCCCAGTGAGTATGGATGCGCGCTCTTTGCTCGGCATTTGAGTAGGCTAGGGCATGCTCATAGGTGAGAGGATCGTTGAAGATCTCCTCAATCTGGCCCTCAAGCTCTTCCTCATCCTGCTCCCACTCCTCATTGATCGGCAATTGTGATCGCCTGCGGCCATTCCCCTGTTGACTATCCTCATCCAATCCCTTTTCTATCTCGTCGCCAAAATCTTGTGCGAGCTGGTCCAAATTCCCGGACAGACTCTCTCCCGTTGCATCGCGATTTTCACTATCTTTGGGGATCTGGGATGGAAGAGGGGGGATGATGAACCCTTCCTCGTCACGACGATACTCGATGGCCGGAGCCTTTGAAAGATCGGCGCCGCCTGCGTCTGACTGCCGGCGTTTCCTGCTTAGGCCATCTACAGGGCCTCCTGTTGAATCATTACCTTCGCCATCGCCAGCGCCGTCGTCGTTTGTAAGCCTTTTTCGCTTGCGAGACCGCTCCTCAGCGAGCTTTCTATACTCATCCGTTTGGCGGTAGAATGATGGTGGATCGTGTGATGTTTCCAAGAAATCCTGCTTCAAGAAGTCTTCCACCGACATGCGACTGGACTCGGTCACTTTGAACTCGGCTAAACGGTTCTGGATGGTATGATTTGTCACTTTGACGATATAGACGACCTCCCGGACAGTACGACGGAAATTGTGCATGCGGGCAGCCATAAGGAGACAAGCTCCGCAGATGCCAGACGGGCGACGGCCCATGACCATCCAATCACGGCTCATGCGCTTGACCAGGCGTACGGCATCCTCAGCTACACGAGCTGTCTCCTGATGAAACTCCATCTTGGTGGCGAATCTCCAGATCAAATCCTCGGGGTAGACAGGGATCAAGCCGTCATTTCCGATTGGAACCACTTCGTTGAGCTTCTTGAAGATGCGTCCCAGTTTGAAAACGTTGAGCTGGACCAAATCAGCCAGATCAATCAGCATGACCTTGCACGGCGGCTCAGCGCGGCAGGCTGCATAAAGACAGACAGCAGCAACACTAGTCAGTGTACGGCCCTGAATAAAGTTGGCGCTCGAGGCGAGCTTGAAAACCTGGGTGCCGTATGTAACGAAGCTCTCGCTGACGTTGAGCTGCTGAGCATAACCTTGCATCAAACCCTTGGCCTCGCGGATGCTCTTCTCGCGATCTTCAGAGCCACCGACTCTCCTAAAGGACGGGCCCATGCTTCGAACGCCAGCCTGGTCTGCTGCAACAAAAGAACCCTGGACCATGGCAGCACCAGAGGAGGTTTCACCAAACTGCACCTCGGCAACAATGTTACTGTCATCAGCAACACGACCACAGGTCTGGCAGGTACCGTCGACGACGTTCGGCTTCCGACAGGCCTTGTTGGAACACTGGGCTCGGGATGGGACAGCAAGCGAGGCAGCTGTGTTGTTGGAAGGGTAAGCAAATTGCGAGGATCGTGATGAAGCAGCGGCATTAGCCCGGCGCTCCTCACGTTCACGCATTGCACGAACGGGATTCGGGCGTGCAAACCGAGGTTTGGACGTAGCCGAGCCCGTAGGCTTCTTGGCTGGCGTCAAAAAGGAGGACATTTTGTGTTGGTGCAGCTGGTGGGACTGGATGGATGTGCTAATAACTGCAAGACAGAGCAGGTGAGGGAGGGGAAATGTGAAGTTTCCCAGACGAGGAAAGCTTTGATTGATGGGAGAGAGAGAAAAGAAGATGAGTCGGTCGGTCGGTAGGTAGGTAGGTAGGTAGGTAGACAGGCAGGCAAACAGGCAAAGAAGGCAAGAGATGGTTGAATGAATGAATGAAGGCGTAGATCAATCAATCTGCCTCTCGCCCGGCCCTCCAGCTCCTCCTCGGCAACGAGGCTGAGTTCTCGTCTCGATAGACTCGAGACTCGGGCAAGAATGAAGGCGATTGATTGTCTCCCAAGACAGCCAAGAAGCGGTTCTGGAAAGATGAGACAAATCCGTGGGCTGCAAGTGAAGAAGGGTGTAAGTCTAATGGATGGATGGATGGATGGATGAGTGATACTGGTCTGGGGGAAATTGTGTCGACACTCACTTTTGGAAGTGGGGGCAAATGCTTTCGATTTTTTCCCTCTGGTCGAGTGGGCCCGTTGACTCACGTCGGCCACTATCACGCGGCCCCTGGTACAGCCGCGAGTTCGAACCGTGTAGAGAGTTGCCTGAGAGAGCTTTTTACTCCGGATCTGGAAGGTTCAAGTACGGCAAAAAGCTGGATAGAGATTACCATGGAGGCCTCGTATGTATGCCCAAATCTCAATACGCAGCGACGGACAATTGGCCCGAGGTGCTGAGCTTGTGGCGTTCGCTGCTGCCTTCCAACACAGCTTGTACTTTACTGGCGGTGCGCCTCACCTAATCATCCGGACATTTTCCGGCCTTCCTTTCGCAGATGACTAAGAGATCGGCAATTCGACATTCATCAAGGTTCGCTCTCGAGGCACGCTTTGCGGAACTTTTGAAAGAGGCAATTCCGCATTAAAGCCATATCATTCCAAGTTGCACCATCCTTCTTGCGGGTGAATTGGCAGTAGCAGAAGCTCATCCCGCTACCCACTCCAACTTCTCATCGGCCGAGCCATATTAGTCTCGTTCCGTCTCCAATTAGACAACAACGCACCCGCAAAGGAGGGGCAAGAGCCGAGTCAACTAAACTTGCCCACTGAAGAGGAATATGCGCAGTCAATACATAGGCCATCAATATATAAAGATCCATCCCATTGTTTCCCAAGTCCATCTTCTACACACCTAGCTTAAGCAAATATCTATACACATACGCACTCAATCTCGAACCCGTCCCTCTTATTATCATGGCTGAGCTCCAGTTCCCATTCACCTTCGCCGCCGACCCCAACACGGATCTGTGGAAGAAGCCTCCCAGCCACGACGCAAAGAACGGTATGTCTCCCCAGCTCCAGTCCTCATCCACACGCCTCCCAAATACTCTAAACAAACTCCGTCTCTCCAATACGACCCTCCATCTTCAACACACACACACACACACACACTCACACTCACACTCCCATTCCATCCATCCGACCATCTCACTAACACAGCTCACCCGAAGCCCCTGTACGCCCCCTCAGCAAGGCACCCCTCGCCCAGTTCCAATCCGCCACCGTCTCCTTCACCTGCCCCTACACAGTCCAGTTCGACCAGGCCGGCCTCGTCCTCCGCCTCTCCCACGCCACCTCCAGCGCCACCAAGTGGATCAAGGCCGGCGTCGAGTTCTTCAACGGCGTGCCCCGCCTCTCCGTCGTCTGCTGCGACAACTACTCCGACTGGAGCGTCACCACCTTGCCCGACGCCGACGGTGACGTCGTCGCCGGCAGGAAGAGCATCACCGTCCGCGTGGAGCGCGACGGCGTCACCCTCTGGGTGTACTGGGTTAACGGCGAGGAGAAGGTCGCCCTGAGAGAGATCGCCTGGGTCTACGGGCCCGACGGCGCCGGCGACGGCTGGGAGCTCGAGGTCGGCGCCCTGGTGGCCCGGCCCAACACAGAGGCCAAGGATCAGCTCGTAGCTACCTTCCAGGACCTCGAGGTCGCCTGGGCCAAGCAGTAGATTCGACAGAAAATTAAAACAAGTCAAATTAACTCGGAAGTATCCATCGTGCCTTGGCTAAATGAACTTGCCATGGCATGTTTTAGTAGACGCAGGCGGACTCAAAGTCACAGGCAGGCAAGCATGGGACAACATCACTTCACATCACTTAACGAAAGGGACGGGACACAAAGATGAGGCGGGCCGACTCTCTCATTACCTCAAAAAAATTAACAGCTCTGAACATGACCACACCCAGGCGGATCGCACGCGACCCGATAGATGAAGTGTTCCAATCGTAAAGACCTGCTACAAAAACACAAACAACAATCCTGGGCGATGTATACAGTCCACCACACATTTCCTTCTTTTTTTCACATCGTCGCGCTTCCCCCACACTGCGCCTCCTCGGATAACAAATGAAATAACATCATGACGACGGTCGGGGGGTATGTCAAAAGCGTACCAATCTGTCTAAAGATGTGAAAACCAAAAAGGGGGGCGTTAGCAGAACTCGACGGCCATTCCATCCTGTGGATGCGTCGTCTTGGTTCCTGCCCCTTACCTCCAGATGGATTAAAACAAAAAACAAAGGTATCATTCTCGGGTGCGCACTTAAATCAAGGACGTAGAGTGGTGATGAACGCCAATAAGTGATATGCAACAGGAACGAGATTGCAAAACAAAAAATCCATCTAAAGGCTGCTGAGATGATTGCTTGGGACGGGGGAGCCGCTGCTCAAAAGGGAGCAGTCACAGATTCTCAGAATTGGAGCTCCCCCATCTTTAATGGAGTGAGAACAGGGTCCCTGTTGCCTCCCATCCTGATTGCCATGGTTTCGGCCAGCGAAGCGACGTGAAAGCATCGCTGGAGGAGGGAGAGGGCCCCCAATCAGAAAACAATGATATGAGACAAGTAGAGATACTTTCTAAACCAAAAAGAAAAACACAGGGCTTTGAAACAAGCAAAACAATAAACCTCCAAAATACTTTGGTACAAGACTCGAAATGACAACAATAAATGGAGCAGAAGGCTGCAGTCCGTAGCAACGGTGTTATTAGGCGCCCTCTCAGCTCGGATACTCATCAAAAAAGTTGTCGGCCAACCTCCTGGGTGAGAGAAGTAGAGAAAACAGCTCCCAAATGGTGGACAGTCAATCTGATGAGGGGAGCGACGAAAAAGCAAATAACTCCATCTGAACCGCTTGCATAATATTCCAATCATTATCATAAATCATCAAGACTTTTTTTTTTCGGCGATTTTTCATTGCGATGCCGCATATAGTTTCGGCCTCGTTTTCTGGTTTTTTTTTCTCTCCAGTTCTTCATTCCTTCGAACAGCAAAGTTGGGAAAACTGAGTCAGTGCATGTTGGTTTTGCCATGCGACCTGGCAGCAACTTTGGGTTGGTGGATTCAGACAGTCTTTGGGGTTCGGACGTTGCTGACCTCAATGACGTCGTCCAGGTGGTTGCACATTGCCACAAACAGGTCGAAAAATAATTTGCTGCCTCCAGCTTCCATCTCAGCCTGCATGGTACCACTGCGCTTGAAGGTCTTGCGGCAGCGGATGATCAGGGCGAGGTAATGAGCGCGCAGACGGCTGTCTGAGTCGGGCGTATGGGCATAGGCATACTGGGCTGACCTCAGGATGGTTCCGACATCAATGCCGGCCTGAAGTCCTTGCTTGCGCAAGGCCAGTCGCTTCAGCTCGTCGAGGCCATATCGCTCTGCGGCACAGTATACGACCGTATCGCGGAGGATGTCGGCCCCTATGCTCGAGATGTAGACAGCGGCTTCCGGTGAGGCGCCTGCAGCGCGACCGCCTGCGGCCTGCGGGTTGGGTGAGGGGTGAGGACTTCTCGATGCCGGTTTAGGCTGATCTTCGAGTTCCCAAGAGTTCCGTTGCCTGTTGTGGATCAGGCGGGGGTAATAGTCACCCTTGTAGAGGTACTCGAGGACGGCGGAGAAGACCTCGGGTTCTTCGTCGGGGAGGGATATCCTCCGGTTCTGCGCATCAAAGAAGTTTTCTGAACAGGCAGCCGTGAAGAACGGCGACTGACGTAGGACATCTTCGTGCGCTGCAAATAGTCGGCCTTCGCGACCAACTGTGAGGGTCACGATAGGTGAAGGAGCAGTGGACTGAGGGTTACTAGGCTGATGGCTGGGCATCGAAGCCTGGTGGTGCTGGTGCTGGTGCTGAGCGCGCTGAGCGTGCTGATGCTGAGCGTGTTGAGGCTGAGCATGCTGATGCTGAGCGTGCTGGGGCTGTTGCTGGTCCTTCTCCGTTAACGACTTTTGCAACTTCGTTAACTTCGTGGGCTCCCGCGATGAGCCATTCTTCTTTAGTCTCGCAGCCTTGTCGACACGGGTCTGGTCCTGAGACCTAAACGAGCGCTTGAACATGGCGGCGGGTATTGGTTGACTGGTTGGTTGATCTTGTTTCCTCAATGCGAGTCAAGATGTCTTATTGGGGACAACTAAAGAATGGAAACAACTCTGAATGGGATAGGCAAGTGGCTTGAGGCAGACGCGAGCGGATATATGTAGGCGATCGGATATACCCAGGCAGGCAGGAATGCGACGATGGCCACGACACGCCACACGCGGGGGTGTGCGTGTGCTTTGCCGGTTGGACTTGAAGAGAGCGACGAAGAGAGCGGAGGAGAGTCGGGGGTGGGGGTGTCGGGTTGAAAGAGTGAATGACGCACAAGAGGAAAGATTGGCTCGGGCCCGGGCGGCAGGATTCGTGCCTTCAGCAGTGAAGCGAAATCACGGAATACCTGTAGATGCTTTGCGACCCGTTGTTGAAGGCTTGTGTGTGGGGAGAAAGAGGAGAGGGGAAGAAGCCCAAAGATTTCGTCTGGGTGGTTTTGTATTAGAGTTAAGATCCACCCCTCCTGGACGCTCAGCGGCTTCAGGCGTCTGCTGGCACCAGCCACTTAGCTGCCGCCGCCGCTCAGGCTCCCCTGTAGCGACACCGCCCCAGCCACCGAGCGCAGCCAGCGAGCTGCCCGCAATTATGGCCTCTGGTCATGCACCGGCGGTCGGTAGATGGAGGTCGACGCTACCTAGACCCCCATGTACCGATAGACGCAGATGGGTTAAAATAGATCTTCTTCTTCTTGCTTCTTTTTCACCGACACCAGGGCGGTCGCATCTACGCCCGACGGCAGGACATGTCAGGTGTCCCTGTTGGCATCGCTAGCAGCAGCGGTATCGTCTACCCGGGCTGCACATGATGGCAGCCAACTGCATCTCCGCCAATGCCAGCTACCTCTCAGGGCCCGCAGACCGTTGCGTCGAGGTAGGTCTACGTCCAGGTACTTGCGCAGCTCGTCAGGCTTGCCGATCATCGCTGCCCAGAGCACGCACGCACTTTACCAGACCACACCACAGAGGGACGTAGGGCATCCATCCATGTACCTATGTACACACCGACTCGCATCCGACACGCATCCCCATCAGTTTCATCTGCCCATAGCATTGGCTCTCTAGCCGCCCGGCCTCCCCCAGGCAGGTTTGATTGCACAGCTCCCCCAAAGCGGCACCGTCGCATCAGACAGTCGCAAGGCACCGACGTGCTGTTTGTTGGTATCTCCACCCCACCCATTTCCACCAGGGACCGGCCCGCATTGATAACCAGCTGATAATGGAAACGGGCGACATACATAGTAGACTCAGCTAGACGGTATGTACCGGGCCCCTCCAACGGCGAGATAGAGTTTGAGCATACTGAGCCAATTCTTGGCCTGGCCAGTCACAGACATGTCTCTGGGACCTTGGGCTGAGACACGGGGAAAGGTCCAATTGGTCTTGGTGGCAGGTTAGGCAACAAAGGGAAAGACTCGATGAGACATGTTGAGCATTGCGATTTGCCATTGGCCACACCATCAATGATCATATCCAGGGTAGCACATGGACGGGAGGGAGGTTCTCGCGCGCGTCTCCGTGAATCTCTGCACGTAGTGTTCCCCAGTGCCCACCACTCCAAGAGGTTGGATGGCTTATGTGCTATCATAACAACCAATCAACCCATATGGGTTCGTGTTTCGTGCTCCTGTTTCTTATTGTAGACCCGTATCATGATTCTGGTGAGGTCCCGTGCATTCTGGCGAGCCTTGGACTGAGCAACAATCAGCATAGAGGGGGTTCCCTCCGTCCGAGCTGCCAGAGATGCGGTATGGAAACATCGTCCTGTGTAATTTCCCGCAGCTACCTGAATATGGGAGTTGGGCATCGAGGCAGATGCATCCATCAAACCATCGAAATGGGATACGTACCACGCCCAAGACCCGGGCGAGGGTAATAAGGCCGGAATGTTCTGGAAAGTGGGCATGGATCTTGGGGAGCACAGGAGGGTGAACGAGGTCACGATGCACGCGCTCTACATGGTGGTTGGATGTCTTCATTATATAAGCCGCATCAGCATCCTACCCTAAACATGTGTGCCAACCTGTCTCGATACCCAAGATACTCAGCTTCCCTCTCTCCCCTCAAGAGCTTTGTTATTTTGTAATTCGATACCTTCTCTCGGTCATTGCTTTCAAGTAGGTTTTTAGACGTAAAACAAGAGGTTTTGGGGAATCAGGTCATGGCTTGATTCTGTCCGTCTCCGCCACCTTCCATCCAGCAGCCGTCACTCTTGGACGAAAGCTCACCGACTCCAGCGCGGGCCAACCGGCTGTCCATTTCGGCCTGATGACACTGGGGCACAGCTGGTCTGTCCGGGGACTTGGTCCGTGGTGGAGCCATCGTCCAACGGCTCATTTGCTCATTTCCATCCGACACACTTCCCCTGAAAACTGGGAACTCCCGGTGCCCTCGGTCGTCATGCTCCCGATGTCGCTTAGAGCCCATCTTGGGCTTCAGGCGTACATGACTTGTGGGAAAACTAAGGCCCTCGAGCCAATGATGCCACAGAGGAAACTGGGACCTATTTTAAGGAGCAAACTAGGAGAGGGAGAATAGAAGAGGAGTAAAGAGGCATATTGCGTTTCTTGTCGTCGAGCCGACGTTGTACTGCATCCTCTCCCTCTGGCCATCTCTGAGTTGGCATGTCCCGTTCCACCAAAAGTCACCGGATGGCCTGCTCAATTAATTCAGGGTCAGGCGGATCTCCCCCTCCCATTCTGAAACTATGAAATCGACACCGACAAACTGGCTTGGAGACCTTGGCTCACTGACGCTGACGTGGTGGATTCTACATCTTTCCGTAATTGATCGGGCTTTGCTCATTCACAGCTTTGCTACCCTCGATCAAGCAGGTACTAGAAGGGGCCCGTTAATTAGCTCAGCTATCAATCGTTATTGCATGAACGGACTTGATGGTTCACTTCAGCGAGCCGAAGTTGCCCGCTACGTGACTGTAGTGTATTTGGGTAGTCCTGCATTTGATTGTGTAATTGGCTCTGCGATATTATGATTGTGGAATAATTTAATTGAAGAACCGCTGTCGATTTATTGTTGAACCTGCAAATGATAGAGGTCAAGGGTAGTTGAAGTTTGGAGGTAGGTATGGAAGCATGGTCAAAGCATTGATGAAATGAGGACATATGGGCATGAATCTCCATTGAAAGGAAGCGGCCACAATGTCCCAAAATGCCTTCAACAACGCAATTGCAAAATGAAAAAATGAGGTTTGAATTTTGGACCGAATTCTCGGCTTCACTAGGTAAGAGCTGTGTAAAGTTATTCATAGCTTAGGACAGTCGTTGATCATTGAGTTCCCCCCATAACACCCTTTCCTCCTACATGATTCACTAGGTATTTTATAGGTATAGAGAGAGTCTCACCTAACTTATGATAATTAGGGTGGCACTTGATGTCTGGTTGTGCCTCTACCCTTCAGCATGATGGCTTTGGCGATACCATCTAATGCCTGTATTGCCCTACCACAAACCTTCCCCCAATTGGCATATCTGTTTCCTAGAGGGTCCGATATCGATAGGTGGGCTCCATGGTTTTAGGAATTTGAGAGAACGTCCTGGGCAGCAGCTACAGCAGCAGCAGCGGCGGCGCGTGACCGGCTAAGGGATTTTGTGAAGCCTTCTCGTACAGCGATGAAGCCAAACATCAAGGTGGACACTGTGGATGTTAGGATGATTGCTTTGAATGAATAATGCGCCCATGAGACTCACTGAGAGGTGCAAGAAGAACGAAGCCGATGCAATAAGCAGTGACAGCCTCCTGTGAGCCAACCTTGCTTTCATCAAGCCAATCGAATGCGAACCAGCCAGTTACTAGTTTCCCAATCGCTGCCCAGCCGAGATAAAGTCCGGAAAGTAGGATTAGCCCTATTAGATGCGAGCCAATGGCCTAAAATTTGTCAGAATTGTCGCGGAAGAAAGTATTTGACAAGAGTTGACGTACGAAGGGGCGCTTGATGCTGTTGAAGAAGAGTATTTCAATCATCATGATCACAGACGTGACACCATAGAGATTGATGAGGACAAACGCCTTAAACCAACCCTCTCCGAATAAATCGCTGACTAGTATCCCCTGATATCAGCTGCTGCATATTCTCATGAGATGGAGAGAGAAGTTAAGCGGGTGGGCACTTACAGGGAGTATCGGGCATCGCTGGCAGAGCCGATACCAAGTCCAGGGGCGGGGGATCCTCAGGCTCGTCAACGTCGTTTTGCCGAGTGATGAACCAATATACGGTAGAGTTCATGAAGGAAAAAACAACAGATGTGGCGTAGAACATGGTGAAGTAAAATTGGTTGCGCAGACTGGCCATGTTCCTTGGCAGAGACATTGCCGAGATGATGTATGATTCGATTCCATCGGTTTCTTCGACGTGGGGGTAGTATAAATGGGTGAATGTCCACGACTGGGTGGCAGGTTAGACCCAGAACAGAAGGTGATTGAAGGGGTGACTTACAAAAGTGATGATGTGATATACGAGTACCAAGAAGAAGCTTACAATGGCAAAGTCGAAGAAGTGCCTCCAATTCGTAAATTCCGATTCTGTTGTAAGCTTGTCGTTGGCAACCATGACCGTAACTGCAGAGAGGTAGGCGAGGACGAGCCCTCGGAGGATCACTAGGACATTCTGTGGGATGAGTCTCCATGGAGAATGGCTGGCTCGTAGGAAGGCCGGCTACCATAGGTTTCCCAGTTAGATGAGCTAAATGGGTGAGATGATGACTCTTAATATCTGCAACAACTTACATGGTCCTGCAGCGTGGTAGGGCCAGGCAGACCGCCCACCGACGAGAGGAGGGGAGCAGTCTCCATCTGAAGCAAGCGATCGTAAGGTAGATGGCGGGAGGCGAAAGAGGCTATGACAATGACTGGTAAAGCTGATGTGCTCGAGCTGGCACGGTTGCGAGAGAGACCGAGCAGGGAATGCAGATGAAAGCAAAGCGGGATGGTGTAGAGAAAAGGGAGCCAGAGGACCAAAAACAAAGCAGATGGATGGTGTTGGGTCGAGAAGTGGCTGCCTCAGTCAGGGTACTGTACTTTCCCTGGTTTCTTGACAGCTGAAAGTGGGAGGAGACATGAGAAGCAGGTTCAAAGTAACAGGCAACTGCCAACCACAGCCAGATGCACTATTGACAATTGAGTAATAACTCGAGCCCTCACCAGCATCAATAGCACAGAATGGTAGTAGATACCGCGGTCAGCTATTTGCACGTTAATGTTGTGATGATTATAGAACTACAATGAGTCAATATAGTATAGTAGCCCATGGCAGCAAAACGCCATGAGGCCAGGCGGTCGGATAGAAGCTGGGCCAAAGACCGGTCTGATTACTCGCGCTTGGACGCAGCGCCTTCCTTCCTCATGCCCTCACATCCAGTGGCCTGGCCTGCCAGTTCTTCCACCCGCCCATACCCTTGGCTCTCATCTCTCGTCTCGCTTGCCTTCTTCATCACAGCGACACCGGCTGCCTTGTCCTGTTCCCCAGACGACTTCCAGGCGTGAGAGCCGCTGATGTTGCCAATGGTAGTCTGGACAAACAGCTACAGTCAGCAAGTTTCGTCAAGTTGATGGAAGCTGAGCCCCAGCTTTACCAACTCACCTCTGCTGCACCCTTCACCCACTGTGCGTGGCCTCCCATAAGGCTCGGCTGCGACTGCTGGTTCTTGCTGTTGTCTGACATTTTGAGTCTCCTCAGATAGATTTCTTTGTGGAAGTTGTGCACAATGTGGTTTGGGTCAATGTCAGTTTCTCATATGAATCTACGGAGAAGAGCTCATGTACAACTAGGGCCATGCCGCCGAGAATAAATAATAGCCTGAAGAATGATCAGCAGGTCTAATTGACGACGTCACTCGTTCAATATTGGTCCTTAGACTGATGTGCTCCGATTCTCTCGATCTCTATGACATCACTTCTGGCGACCTGGAATCACAGGTGGCAGCCACATTTGAGAGCCACAGACGCGAATGAATGGCCAACCCAACACCAGTTCAATTTGGAGAAAAACCCCCACACGAAGGCCCGCATTTTGCCTTGTTCTTTTTTTGGCATGGAAGAGTCGAAGAAGCGGGCAATTTGAAGGACCCTCGGTGCATTGGTCCGTGCACCCGCAACTCAAACAGTCGCTGGAGAGCCACATGTCCACTACTGCGAATGGCTAGTAGCTGGTAGCTTGGACACGCTTTGCTGCATCACGATCTGCTTCAACTCGCGACGCAACTCGACCTCCCAGCCTGATCGCAACTGGTACCATTGCGCAATCGGCCCTCTCTGCTCACGATATCTACGACGTGCCCGATTGCCGACCACTACAATGTTGTCCATGCTTCAGAACCCCCGGCAGGCCGCCGCGCAGGTCTTGAATTTCGCCCTGATCCTGTCGTCAGCTTTCATGGTACCTCAGACTACCGCCTAGATATCCTCGCTATGTGTCGATCCTCTGTTCTAACCAAATCTACCGCAGATGTGGAAAGGTCTCTCTGTCATTTCCGACTCGCCGTCCCCGATCGTCGTCGTTCTGTCCGGATCTATGGAGCCCGCCTTCCAGCGAGGAGATCTGCTGTTCCTGTGGAATCGCAATCTGTTGCAAGATACCTCTGTCGGAGAGGTCGTCGTATACAATGTGAAGGATAAGGACATTCCCATTGTCCACCGGGTCGTCAGGAAGTACGGAGAGGGGTGCGTATTGCCCAAACAGCTCTCTTCTGGCTGTGCTTGATCGGACGTGGAGTCAAAGTTGTTCGAGAACTGACATCATATTCTAGCGAGGACGCAAAGCTTCTCACCAAGGGCGACAACAATCCTTCCGACGATACTGAGGTGTGTAGCATGGGAGCCTTTACCACAGGATGGTTGGATACTGACCCTGACCGATAGTTATACGCTCGAGGCCAGGATTACTTGGTTCGCAAGGATATCATTGGTAGTGTTGTTGGCTGTGAGAACCCCAAGTTGCCCGCCTCAGTCTGACATGCTCGTACTAATCATTGCGCTAGATATTCCTTTTGTCGGATACGTCACAATTCTCCTGTCAGAGCACCCATGGCTAAAGACGGTGATGCTGGGCGTGATGGGCTTGTTTGCCATTCTGCAGAGAGAGTAAAAGAGGGCCGAGCCCGGGTTGCAGAAAGCGATGTCGTATTTGCAGAGGATAGATTATGATCCGTACACCAAAATTTTAAACCGTTTATCAACCCCAATTTCTGCTGTGTCGTCTGAATTCCTCGAGCTGCACTGGTGTGAATTGACTTGCGACGTCCCAGAGATGCCTGGCTTGCTTCGTTGAAGCGTCAACCATGGATTTGAGATTGGTTAATATGTATTAATCCCATATGCAGATTGTCACAGAATGGATTCAATCGCCCATGCAGTGATTCTTCTCGTAACTAATATTAGAGATCCCTTGAGACAACTCGGCGCCTAGAAATCCTCCCACCCCGGCTATTGACTCCGAAAGAGGGAGAAATCCTTTTACATGCCGCAAGTCCCTTCATGGAAAATAGGTATTTGGTAAACTGGCCCGCGACGGCTCTTTTGTGAATTTTACACTCACCTGCTCGCTTCAGCCCTGTTTGACGGGCCTACGTCTAGGATGAGACCAGCATTGCATTCGCTCGTGCAGCTTCCTGATGTGGCGGCGGGGCGTTCCCGCGACAGGAGGCGCCCAGAAACCTCCGCTCAACCAGACGATGTCGGTTATTAGTCTTAATCGGGGGACGTTGGCACCTCGCCAGTGGGAGCTAGCCTCAGAATTAGGTATCGTCAAAGTGGCCCGCCCCTGCAGAAAATTTCCGGATCCTCGGCATGACTCTGCTACTTCCTCTCTTGGCCATGTCTTGGCCCTACAGGATCCTACCAAAATGGTGAGTCGAGCCTAGGCCTGTAGGGCAGGCCAAGCCTCGACGTCTGACAGGCTCGTACTGCGACTCTGACCTCTTGCTGCCTGGGCTGATTGCCACGCCCCTCGCTCGTTCCTTTTCTTCACACGACAGGCACGGTCAAGCCATCAACACCATTCGCTTCTTCAGTCGTTCGTTCAGAAGTTCACGATCCCCGCCTAGGAGCCTGCGCTACAACCTACTCTCGTTTCATCGCTTTCGCTCTCTACCACATCTATTAATACTCGCTCCGTTCCGCTCGTGTCCTCAGCCGTTCTCCGTCGCTCAATATATCTGGCTTAATTTTCGACCCGTGTCTCGAGTCCTGCGACTTGCTCTCGAGAACCTCGAGAACCTCCCATACTCCGTGTCGAAGACCCTAGCCGCCAGTAAACACCACCAGGTTTCTTCGAGAGCCGCCAGCCATGGCTACCGCAGGGCCTCAGCCCCAAGCGCCTGCGCAGGCATATGCGCAATTCCCAGGCGCATACGGCCAACCCTTCCAAACCTATAGTCAATATGGCGCTCCCCAGCCTCAGGGCGCCCAGCAGATCATCCGCACGGAGCCCACTGAAACGAAGGGCTGGAAGATTACTCGATCGGCCCTCCACGGTGCAGGCATTGTTGTGGCTATCCTCTGCATAGCCTTGTCCTTTTCCTTCAAGGGCACAAATACTGAAGTATTTACAGCCTGGTACTCATCGCCAGCGGTATGTTTCAGTTGCAATGTAGTTACTGTTGTGTCATTGAACTAACATTCGTTTGCCAATGGACAGGCCTTTATCGCATTCGTCTGGAGTCTCTCCGAGCTCATCGTACGTGCTGTTCGAAAACAAAAGGCGGGCATTCACCCCGGCGCCCATGTTGGAATGTGTCTGCTCATCTGGCTCGCCGCCTCCTTCGTTGCTGGTGTGCATTCCACATTTGCCGCCATCTCCCACTATGGCGATAGATCGTCAAACTGCGACTATCGATATGACTCCAGCATACAGGATTATACATACTACAATTGCACCTTGCCATTCAACGGCCGGTTTGGCCAGTGGATTGCACTCACGGTCTTCTCGTGGCTGCTTTGGCTCATCTACTTCATCCTCTTTATAGGTTCCTGTATTGACACCCACAGGAGAAACCAGGCGAAGCGTCAGCGAGTCGTCATAGTCAACCCGGGATCGTTCTGGGGGGCAGGTCAAGGATGGCAGCAACTCCCCCAGGGCGCTCAGGTCGTTCAAACTGCCGCACCTGGCATTCCCCTGCAGAATAGGGATTCAGCCCAGCCTCAGAACCCAATGCCCACGGAATTTTACAGCGAAAAAGGCAAGGAGCCTCAGAGGCTGAGCCCAACCCACCAACCCGCGGCTCCTCCCCAGATTACCGAGTACTACACTCCCTCTGCATCCAAATGATGGGCCTGTGTCTGGGCTTAACTCACCATGTTAATGGGTGCATGAAAAGATGCATCCATTCACATATCGCAGTATTTATTCTATAATTTTGTCATAAGTGCCATTATGTCATGGAGCGAATGGACGATGAAAGCGTAACTCTTTTCTTCAAGCCATGAGAAGGGACCGATAATAATCTTTTGACGCATATTTTTTTCCCCAGCCAGCAATAGTCTAGATCATTTAGGAACGTGTGATGATATTCACCTCGGAAATATGTATATATACGTATATATCAGCTTCAAAATATGTCGATAATGAAACAAGCCTTGCAAGGGGTATTTCTCCAGAGAAACCATCAAAACAAAAGTCAAGCAAGCCCCGATACCTGAGCATTTTACCCCGAAGAAACAATAGAACCAAACCAAGAATCGCCGTAAAAACCAAGCATTGAGACACCAATTGATCAGCAGCCCTATTGCAGTTCGTCCTCAGTCTCCCATCTCTTATTTGCCGGTCTGCGCACCTTCTTCGGGCTTCCCGAGGTGACAGCCGCAGGATTCCGCGACGAAGTGCTGGCCTGCGACTTGGTACTGCTCACCCGCATCCGCTCCAGCTTACGACCAATGTTGGAGACGCTCGTGTCCAGGGCAGAGTGGGCGTTGTGAGGCGAGGAGCCGGCCGAGAAGTCGTCCCGTTCCTCCAGGGGGCGGCGTTTGGTCGGGCTGCGGGATGCCAACTCGCGCTTGAGGATTGCGTTTTCCCTCCTGAGGCGCTCGACCTCCTCCTCGAGATTCTCGATCAGCACGTTCTCCTTATCTCCATCTTGACCAGAGGAGTCAACGTCCAGGCCGCGTTCGAGGAGGTCGACTTTTCGATCCCAGTGCTCCTCGTTGCGCTCCTGTTCTACGGCGAAGGATGCTTTGAAACGGGCGATTTCGAGGGCAAGGCGCTGCTCGAATTCAGAGGCACAGTCGTCTCGAATATCCGCCTCGAGATCCAGCATGCGGTCCTCCATGGAGAGGAGGTGTGCCTCTGCAGTCGTGCGTGCCTCAACTTGGTGCTCGAGTTCCGTTCGAAGCTGGTCAAGGTCGTCGCTTAGCCGAGCAATTTCGAGGGCGGCAAGTTCCATGGTCTCCCTCTCGCCTGCGGATACCGTTCGGTAGGACGTAGAGCATCCTGGGGGAACGAATGGGCGAGGGTGATGCTGGTGCACGGGGCTGGTGAGGTTGTTCGTAGGCACTGGGGGGTTGGCTAGGATCGTTGCGGTGATAGAGGGGATCCGAGGAACAGTGACTTCACGAGCAAGAGCGCTGTATCGGAGGATCTGTGACGTCGCATTGAAGTCTCCCAGAGGGTCGGCAGTTACAATCATGATGCCTCGTTGAGGGTTCCTCCTGACCCCGTGAGACTGGGCAGAGGCTGAAGGGAAGGAATTTGAGAAGAGAAGTTCAGTGAGCTTGCATTGTCGGTATGGGATAACATTGGACTGCTGTTGTTAGCACTAGTTTCCGGTCCTGGAATACCATATTATCAACACTCACCTTGCTTGTGTTTGCTTCACTCTGAGTCTGGAGGCATTGACCAAGGTACATCAGACTCTCATTGATCTTGCCAGCTTCCACGAGGGTAGCACCAGCCGTCTTGGCATCCCTTGCCCTCTCGCTGCCAGCCAAGTCCACTACTGTAAACCTGCTGCCCCCCCAAGATCCGGCTCGGCGACTCCTTGATCTCTTCTTGACTTCAAAGGAGAAGAAGCCGTGACTTCGACTGGATGTGCTGTTGCTTCCGGTGCCTGCGACCCTTCTCTCTTGAAGACCGGCCTCTAGAACCATGATGGCATCTTTCAACGTAGCGCATACCACTTTGCGAAGACCAGCAACCACTTTGCGGTCTGGCGACATCTCGGTGGATTTGAAAAGAAGCGGGCGACGGCGCATGTCTTTGGATGAGGCTGCCTTGGCGGGGGGGCAGAGCAGGTCGTAGATTCGGTCATTGTGAACCTCATACATGGACACCACGACAGCATACTCGGACGATGTGTCGCAGGCCACACTGATATGGCTGACATCTGGGGTCTGCGGTGCGTTGGAGATGCGGTGCAAGTTACGTCGAGCGGCGGGCGGAGGAGACATGAAGCCGTGAGACTCGCCCTAAATAGTTGTTAGCCGGCGCAATTCGAGGAGAAGAAAAAGGACCTGGCAGGGTAGAATATGCCATACAATCATTGGGGTGGCCGCGCGCGACCTCGTCATGTGCTGCGGCTCATAGAGAGCGTCGAGGAACTGTGCGGCGGAATACAGTGTGGACTCGGAGGCATCGCATGTCTGCAGGGAATCCGTAACTGCAAGAAGATCATCCTCGTCAATCATGTTATCGCCGAGAGAGCTAAAGAGCACATCGAGAGAGAGCTGGGTGATGCCTCTCTGGGTCTTGGAACCCAGGATGGTGTGAGTCTGCAGACAAGATCAGCTTTCAATTCGTCCCTAATACCGGCAGATGGGAAAAGGAAGCGCACCTTGCCCGAGCCGGTAACTCCCAAGGTTGCCACCATGGCATCTGTGCCCTCGCCGCCATTGGGCGCCAACACGCCTTCAACCATAGGCAGAATGTCGGCGCGGTGGAAGACATCAAGCTGCGAAGCGTCCTCCTCAAAGACGCGAGTAAAAGCGAATTTCTCGATGGCCCGCCGCCGGTCAGTGGGCGGGTTTAGAACGATGTGCGAGGTGCTCAAGTTGGTATCATCACTCTGCTCGTCATGCTCCCCCTCCCTCGTCTCGACGGTCAGGATTCGTTCTGTGGCGGTCCCATTAGATGGAGGCGGTCGTAGGCGCAGATACACCTCAAAGAGGTTGTGCGAGGACGCCGACGATCGATGTGCTGCCTCCATGGCACCGTGAATCCTCAGCTAGTATTAAGATATGATGTAGCTGTTCGTCTCGAGAACTATCAAGGACTATGCGTAGCCAGAGGAAATATTAATGATTACAGGCAGATACGGCGAAGTTGCACTTGGCATGAAGAGACTCGTCGGATCTGGTGGTGGTGGAGTCGGATTCAGATTGAATCAAATGCGTGAATGCGTGTCAAAGTACTTGATGCAAGTGGTCGGCAGAAGCAAAGAGGAGGGATCCCTGTTTACATTGCGGCTTGTTTGCGGTGCGCCTGGCTGGCGGGGCAACCAGTAACCACCGCTGGTCTTGGCCTATGAAAGCTCGATGCGCTGGCCATCGTATCTACCAATAGTTACATACCTACCTACACAACACAGATGAGCGGTGACGGCTGAATAGAAAACAACCCACCAGCCAATAGGAGAGATCCAAGTACCGATTCTAGAGATTTGTGCGAATTTTTTTGGACCAGTACAGACGACAGCGCAGAAGCATATCACCATCTATCTGGTCGTACGCAGTATCAGACCCACTGATTGGCTGGCCGAGCTCACGCCGCACCTCGCACAAACAGGCATTGACAATGGCAATCGGAGTATTAATTGGGGTCCTCGAAGAAGGAAAGTAGCATGCGCCCAGGAGGAGCAACCCCGGATTGCCCTAGAGAGAGCCCATCAAAGAGTCCAAGACACACACGGCCCCTGAGACCTTGACCTTCCCGACCCCTGCCAAAGGGCTACAGGTCTGAAGATCCGTGGTCTCAAAAATGTGCGTTCACCCACAATACAACCCTGACACTTGGGAGCCAAAATTCATTACCTTGGACGAGCGTCGGCCTCTTCTGCTCTCCTCCCACGATCAGCGCCAGGGAAAGATCCCTTGAACATGATCCAAACCTGACGGCCATCACCCCAAGTCCATCCTGCCGACCTGCCCTGGGTCTCTGGCCTACCCTGCTTGGGTCAGAAGGGTCTGTAGAGGGTGTGGTCAGACAGTTTCAGCCGCTTGTGTGTGCATAAGGAATTACAATGGTGTTGACGAGGGTTTGAGGGCATTTGCATGCATGTGACAGTCATAATTACTGGCCAACGAAGAGCCATGACGGTTGAAATCAGACTATCTTGTCCTAGGCCTGCCAGGCCATGTGTCGTTATGCATGCGTGAGTCAACGCTATGGAGAGTCAGATGGAATAAAGGACTTAGCGAAGTTGGCGCACTATGCACCATCATCTTCCTGTGTAGACTTTTACACCCATCCATATCCATATCCATATACATCCCCATCCCGCTGGCTGCTATTCGTTCATTGTCGCCAAGTGGCTGACCACCCTGACCTTTGTGGCCTCTGTTGTATGACCTACGCGACTGATAATTATTGTCGCATTCTGTGTCACCGCTCGTTTTGTTGGTTACATCCAATCATTCCTGCGTGCGAGACAGTCATCGCTTGGGCGAGTCTGCATTGACCACCTCGAGTGCTCAATTTGCTTCGCTAGGTCCAAACTCAATCGAGCATACATATGCACATAGTGCTGGGCCACGGTGCCCTCATCGACCGGACGAATAGTGCTGTTCGGAGCTCCAGATCCGATGCGATGCAGGCTGTCACATCTGGTGCGGAAGGACGAGCAATGGGCATGAATAGGGGGAAACGCGTGATGGCTATATGATTGCAACCACATAGGCAACCGGACGGGCAACTTCTCACCCACCCTCTCGTTGGGAGTCTTCCGATTTGAAATGAGACTTCGGGCTGTGACTCGATCAACCGAAGACCCTGTGCTGTAGGTGGAGCATCTCCGCTACTATTCCACTGCTGTACGTCACGATTGTTCCACCTCCAGGCCGCCTCACTTGACCCCTGCGGCTGCTTTTTTAGCGACCCTTTTCTCTGAGCATTGCTGCATTCCAGATAGAATTTTTTTTTTCTTTTTTGGGACTGCTGAGGAAGAGGCAAATTATAGTTCAGGTACCTAATACGACCGTAGGCCTCCACCCATAGAGGTTCCGCTATCGACGCCAGACAGAAGCTCTTTGAAATTGTCTCCTGCAGCCACAGGCAAATCAATCTCGTAGCTGAATCTTAGTTTGGCAAGCGTGCTGCAGGTAATTCTGCTCAAGCCAGCCATGACGTGGTCGAGATCTCGTGTCAGGCTACCCAAACTCATCTTAAAATACACCTGGTGCTAGCAGAATGCCTACTAGCTGTATGCCAAACCGTTGCTCGGACCCTAAATCAAACACTTGATGGAGATCAGCACCAGTGGATTGGGGCAGCTGTCCCGCCCAAAGAGCGGTGACGGTGCATCCCCCGCCCTGTGCGGTGACAAGAGGGACTGGGAATGGGAATTGCACGCTCACTCCTCTCTCCTCCTGGTGGGTTTCTGTCCACCGGACTGAGTTCAGATTTAAGCCAGGTCAGAGGTGCCTGTTAGCAACTGCCATGTCGCTAGGCTAAAGTTGAACCCATGTTGACAAAAACGACCGAGAGGGGGTCCAGCACAGCCGAAGTTTGATTATACCCTGCCAGGCTTTCGACAACTCCTAGACAAGTCATAAAGTTACCTGCCCGTATTGAGAAAAAGGTCCGAGCGTTCCAGCAGAAAGTTGACTCACATCTGATCAAGAGTCAAAGGCACTGAGGGACGGAGCGAGTAGGTAGTTCGATCTAGCCAGTTAGCAATCAAGGCATCCAGAGCAGTAGACCAACTTTGCTGAGCCGAGAAGAAAAAAAAGCCGATCCATTGCAAGGAAATCCCAGGCTCCAGCAACGAGGGATTGAGCTCCCTCTCTGAGCTAGGTCCTAGGAAGGGTGGGCTTAGCTTGGCATTTGCAGGGACTGCACCCCGCTGTTGCTCAGTGCTTGCGGTTCTGCATCGGACCCAGAGCCCCTACGGCTCCCTGTGGCACCCTGTAACAGGCGATGGCAGGGTCCTGCAGCAGCCCCAATGGCAAATCAGATGTTATGTGGCTGCCCAAAGACCCCACTGTCCCGGTGGACCCGCCCCCCCCAGTCGAGACACCCGTCCCTCGCTACAGTGTACTACTTATTTTTTTTTTCTCCCCCTCCTCTTTCTGCTCTCTTTCTCCCCGGAACATTATCTGCAATTCTATCAATCAAGACAACGAAGTCGCAACTACCCAACAATCAGCATCAGAGTATCTATACAACCTAAACTTCGTTCGAGTCAAGATGCCTTCGGCCACCGCTGAGCTGTAAACGCCCACTGCGGGCCTGGACCACCGTCTGGGCTCGCAGTCCCGCAGTTCACCGAGATAATTCAATTACGACCAACCTCAACGAAGTTTACAACCAGGCTTTCCAGTCGCTGGCCGCCGTTAATCCGGTAGCTACTCTTGAAAAAGAAGCACAGCCTGTCTCCCAGACATACAATTTTGCGAGTTGCCCCGAACTAGAGGGCTTTTCTTTATCTCGTCATCCCAACGGCTATATTCCATTGCATCGTAGGGACTTCAAGCACAGTTGCTCCAATTTCCCATACCCCGAAAGTTCTCTCTCCTACTATTCAAAAGAGGAGAGGCGTATCATTGAAATAGACGCAACCAAGCGGCGATACCTTGCTTGGCCTTGCAACTAGAACTATTCGCACAAGACATCTGACTTGGTCCTTGATCAGACCCTCATTGACCAATTGATAAGAAGCGACTCCATACTGTACCCAGCGATTTCATTGGTACACGATTCCCCAGAATGTCTCGCAACGTCAAGCGCAAATTTCGCCCCGCGCCTCCCAAGGCATCCAAGCGTCGGGACTCTGACACCTCGTCGTCCTCATTTGATCTCTCCGATGAGGGCGGTTACTCAGCTGTTGAAGATATTAGTGACTCCGAAGACGATGATGAGGAAGATGTTAATGCGGCCGAGGAGGAGAATATTTTAACGCAGGTGATACCTTCGCCATCCCCTGCCTCCACTCCTCGGCCGACGATCGAAAATACGTACGAATATGAATCAAGCGACGACAATCCTATCGAAGGTATCGACGAGAGTAGCTCCGTCATCCTCAACGAGGACGGTGACGACAATGTCAGCTGGCATGGCATTGTCTCCGAGAAAGACTCTGACCTCGGTCAAGACACTGACATTGGATCCGTTTCCAAGATTGATCGCCATGTCCGGTTTGCCCTCCCTTCAGACAGTGATTCGGATTCCACCGACACCGAGGACGACTATGGCGGCATGTACTCTGACATTTTCGTTGCTCAAACTCAGCTTGACCCCAATTTCCGCCGGGAGGTTGAGTTGGACTCGGATGATTCCTCAGGCTCCGAGGGCTTTTGGGACTACGGCCAATACTTCGGTGACCAGCGCGAGTCCGAGGCCGAGGAGATCATTCGCCAACTCTCCGATGATGAAGACGAGGATGCCACTCCTTTAGCCACTCCCAATGCCTTGCCCCCCGTCGTTGGTGTCCAAATTGACGATTTCCCCTTCGCGGAAACCCCTACACAGTTTCAGGACCCTTCGGAACTTGATGGCTATGAAAGTAAGTCCTGCCTTCTTGCAGGACAATCTGGGTAATGACATGCTAACTCTCGCTCTTAGCTGACGGTGATACAACTGAAGAGGATATTCCAGAACCCCCCGCCCGTCGCAGAATCCGCCGTCCGTCTCTTCCTGCGAGCGAGATTTCGGACTCGGAATACGATAGCCCTGCTAAAACCCAACGCGGCCAGCCCCGTGTTGGGCGCTTTAGTCTGGACAAGTCTGACAAGAAACCGATTGCTGTCTTGAACCCTCTCACCCGCAAGATGATGATCTTCACTCCTCACCAACGAAGACAGCTGGATTTGTCGCCAGAGCAGTTTCATGGTGTCCCCGCATTCCCTATCGACGCCTCATCCCCAATGCTCAGCAACTCGGCCAACATGATGTTCAGTGCTATGTTCTCGTCCAATACCTTTGCCGACTTTGTGAACGGCCAGGCTGTTGGCCCCACGGAGGCATTCTTCCCAGACATTACTGGTGCTGACGAGAGCGAGTTCAGCGTTGACTCTCAGGCACTCAACTGGGAGGAGGGAGAGGATGAGGCTGAGCGGGGTCTTAATCTTAATGATTTTATTTCTTTCGAAGAGTCCGAATCTTCTGATGACGAGGACAAGGCCAAGGGCAACTGGGACCCGTCCTCAACACCTGCACGCCCGACAACTGCCTCGAGCGAGGTTGATGTTCTCTCTCATCTGAACTCGGACATTGTCGGAGCGTTCCGCCGCAATCAGGTCAACCAGCAGTTGATTTTGAGCAACCAAGCTACACAAGACTCACTTGCTTTCAGCGGGCCCTATAACCATACCGCAATCAGAGGCCTCCGATCTGACCGATTCGATACGGCTGGAGTCCCTCTTACACCTGTGCGTCGTCACAAGAGTAAAATCAGTGACCTCACACGGAGCCCGCTTGAGTCTTTCTCAGCCAAGCGCAAGGCTTCTGCGGAAGTACCCAACGTTGGGCACAAGAAGCAGAGAAGCATCTCTGATGTCAACAATCTGCACCTATGATTCAGCACCTTGATGCTGTACGATTATGACGACGAAAACCAATACGAGCGAGGACGGCATAGCGTTTGCGGTGATCCGCTGCTATCCCTGGCCTCGAACATGAAATCTTTGCTTACATGTCTTGCCTCGATGAACCTTTTCCAACCGTTCCACATCTCCCTCAATTGCTATAGGGAAGGGGGCTGGCTACTTGACTTTGAAAAGATATCCCGGCATGAGGAACCGGGGTAAAGTTGATCTGGGATTGGCTTCTACTTGGCATGAATGACGAACGATGATCCAATTTCTTGGGTTGATATTTATGCATAGAGCGTATTGACACGACTTACTCACAAGACAAAAGTTTCCTTTAGTAACTATTCAATCATACTTTTCGAGTTTCACTAGCTCTTGCCTCCGCGTGAAGTGAATTAGAAAATGCGACAACTCCATCCCCCTAAGTGCCAGTTGCCGCTCGAATCTCTGTACCAGTCGAGAGCAGCTGAGTGCAGCACAACCAACATAATTTGAAACTTTGAAACACACGTAAGGTCTGTTCCACTGATGACGACCTTGATTAAGGGTCTTGGGCAGGGTTAGGGTGAGATTTAGATCAACCGAAGATGGCTGGCTTCCCTACAATAGATCAAAGGTCAACTGCTGTATACCTACCTAGAATGCCTTGGTCACTGCTCATATGATGCATTCGCACTGATGTTCCCTCCATGACATGAATATGTCTGGCACCATGAAGTCACCATGAAGTCATCACAACTGTCTCGCCAATTTACGAGAACAGGCCTTCACTTTCGGCTTAGCCCTGCATATTGAAAGCTTGATATATACTTATTGCATGGCTCGTAGTCAAAAATCGGTTTCGTGGCGCAATGGCAGCGCGTTAGTTTCCGGTACTAAAGGTTGGGAGTTCGAGTCTCCCCGGAATCGCTTTTTGTGTCCTTTTCCTTTTTGGATTTGTGTTGTCTCCTATCCAAGTGAGCGGTTTTCTATTTACCAGCCTATCTATAGTATTGATATTTGTTTGATCTATAGTGGGTTGATGTCATGCTGCTTATCGTCGTGGGGGAGAAGTGAGCCACATCGGCTGACCGGTGGGCGGTATTACCTTGGCCATCAAAGCACTGGCAAGTGGTTGAAATAAAACATGACACACCAAAGCTCTTTTCATGCAAGGCAGGGACCTCGCTTTCTTATTAATAATACTAAATATAATAATAAGAAAATGATAAATTATCCTACAATATTTAGCTCGATATTGTGTTTCTTACTGGGTTGATTGTTATGATTATATTGAAATTCAACGCCGAAGGTTCTAGGTGCGCCATGTTTTATGTCAGTCGCTTGACAGGATGCAACGGATGCCAGGTGCTACCATATTATACGCTCGAGAAATCTTCTCCAATTACACAGACGTGCCGCTGTCGCTCCTCTTATCGGTTAGCAGATGCCTCATGGCCACCATGGAAGGTCTTGGCGTGACAGCAAATGTCATCGCTGTGGTCGAGATCTCAGACAGAGTCATATCCTAGTGTTACAAATACTCTAGGGACGTTAAAATGCCAAGACAGACATTGAATGGGTTCTACAGGAGACGGCCAATTTGAAAAATACGGCTGAAGCGGTGCAGAGACTGCTAGAGGGTGGAAAAGCCGACAAACTTCAAACGTCGCAAAAGCTACTGGCTGCTGCTATTTAAGCCCGTGACCAGCTTCAGGGGCTAGAAAACATTCTCCAACAGAAAAAACGACACCAAATAATGAGCCTCTTCGATCTTTGCGCTTTGAGGTGGCTATTCCAGAGTGGTGGAGTTGAGAAGCTCCTCTTCGACCTCGGACGGTCCATGCAGTTACTCAGTTTACGTTACAAGCGGATCAAACGTAAGTACACTGGTTTCCGCGTTGTTTGTTTGCCATGAAACTCTCATGTATCTAGTCATGTCATATTGGATATGGACACGAGAACCATGTTTGACCAAATCTCCATCGTTGAAGGTGCAACATTCGACTCGAACTCAAATATCCACGATCCAACTTGCTTGCCGACACTCGAGTTCAGATTCTTGAGAGTGTCTCACGATATGTCAATGATGCTCACTCAAAACCTGTAATGTGTCTCAGTGGTAAGGCTGGTACGGGGAAATCCAGCATATCCCGGACCGTTGCTACATCAATTGAATGCGCTGTCTATTTTGGAGCATCATTGTTCTTCGAGATCGGTGAGAGTCACAGGCCTTCCCTATCGAAATTCTTCACAATAATCACTACCGACCTGATCCTCAAATTCCCAAGGGTGCGTCGTTACGTCAAAAGTGCAACAGAAGACGAGCCAGATATCTTCCAGAAGGTAGCTGGACAGCAGTTGCGTACTCTCATTCTCTAGCCTCTCCTTGATTCTCAAAGCAGTCACTCTCTCCATCCTATTGTCATCGTCGTTGATGCACTGGACGAATGCGAGCGAGACGAGGATATGAAATTGTTTATTGCTCTATTCACCAAGGCTAGCATTTCTCAACTCCCTAATTGTAAAATTTTCCTCACCAGCAGAGCCAAGTTACCGATTCGACTTAGTTTCAATCTCGCAGCACCCAAAATCTTTCATGCTCTGACGTTAGATCAGATCTCTATACTTAAGATGACATTCATCTCTCTCTAGAACATCGTCTCGCCTAAATCAGAACAGAAATCAATGCATCCGACTCGGCAGAGGGCCAGACTCTAACTCTAGATTGGACCCGACGTGAGAAAATCCAGTCATTGGCAGAAATGTCTATTCCCCATTTCATCTTCGCGGCTAACGTCTGTTGCTTCATCGGCTAACTAAAAGTCGATGACCCAGACGCCCAGCCTGAGACTGTCTTTGAGGTTGGAACCAAGAGCCAAAACCCACACTATGAGAAAACCTATCTTTCGGTTCTCAATATGCTGGTTGCAGAGCTGTCGGAAAAAGGAGGTTTGTGACGCCCTTGGGAGATTTTGCATGATTGTTGGGCCCATCATCCTTCTGGCAACTCCTCTATCAAAGGGACCGCTTGCTCAACTGTTGGGAATCAAGCAAAAGTCCATTGATATGCTCTTTGGGTCTCTGAATTCAGCCATCAATACCCCCGCAAGTCCGACCTCAGTGTAACGACTGTTCCGCCTTTCCTTCCGGGACTTTCTACTCGATTCTGATATGGAGAAGAGTCCATTTTTGGGTGAATAAGGAAAAAGAACACGCGGTCCTTGAATAGAGGAGTTTGGTCCTTCGGGGGAAAACGTCCAAATATGATATCTGCGGCATGGGTGATTTCACCACGCTACGCCAGGCATTCGAGAAACCAACCATATCCGACCATCTCTCTCCGGAAGTGCAATGTTTTTACTCCTACTGGTTGCACTGTTTCGAACATGCTGGCGCCATTCTTGAAGATGATCGACAGGTCCATCACTTTCTGCAAGTCCATTTGCTTCATTGGCTCGAGGCGATTAGCCTGCTCGACAAAGTTTATGGTTGCGTGGGATTTGTCGAGACGCTCCGAGGGTTAACTTGCGTAAGTGTTTATTTTATCCTTCCCTCTTTTCTGTGGCCTCTTTAATCGTGTATTAATTCGCGAAATTACCTTTCAGCCAGAGAATAGCAATGAAATGGTTGAGCTTCTTGATGATTTTTGCTGTTCCATGTCGCTACCATCGATTCACTTCCCCTTCAGCTATACTTGTCCGTGCCTGCATTCACCCCAACAAACAACCTCATACGAAAGATGTACAAGAGAACGGTGGAGGGGCGGTTATCACTTTATCCGCCGACAGAAACCTCTTGTGGAGATTGCTTGCAGACGTTTGAAGGACGCACCAGCTGAGCGAAAGCGGTTGCAATTTCTCGCAACTTCTTGAGTGAGGTAAGCACTGGGGATACAAGTCTGGGATGTCAACTTACGGACTCCAACCTTTCAGTCTAGAGATCCATGGTTAAAATTCACATCAAGCTGTTGCCTTTTCCCCTAGCTCAGCAATACTTGCTATGATTGGTTCGACACATGGAAAGAAAACCGCAATAAGCTTATATTGCGTCGAGGAGGACGAGGAATTGGAATTTTATATTAACCCGGACCGGAAGGCCATTCCCCCGACGTCCGTAGCATTTTTCGTCTGACTCGACGATACACCTTTGGGATTAAAGTGCGGCAACATGCTGTTATGGGATGTGAATACAATGAATGGCATCAAAGAGCTCCATGGCTATCGTGACAATGTCACCAGTATCATCTTTTTGCGAGACTTGGCTTTATCAGTGCCTGACTCCCGAGATACGGCGGTACGATTCTGGCGGACCGTGACAGCTACGAAGAATAATAAGGACGCTCAGAAGGTGAACCCAGAGAGCGCCTTTCTAGACAGTTACTGCCAAAATATGCTAGTCTCGGAAGACCTTGGTCGAATTGCTGCCATCGGCAATTGGGCCCTTCATATATAGAATGCAGAATCAGGTGAACGTCAATGGCCAACTGACTTGGGGAAAGAGGTGGTCATATCTGCAGAGGTTTCTTTGGATTTTGCTCCTCAATCTACGTTCCTCGTTGTAGAACCCCTTACAAGATTGGACGTGGAGATCTTTTACTCAGACACGGATCACTTGGCCTTCTTTCTGATGACCCGTAAAGAGACGCAGTCTTGGCACAAAGATTTCTTTTCTCAAATTTCGCTGATCGAGAGAGGAACCGGTTCAAATGGGGTGGCGGTGGCATCATCTTCCTACTTCTAGAATACCGGTACCCTTACTTTCATGAGACTATGGGCTATCGATCTAGGACAGCCCTTCGGATGCAAACTCGCGGGTGGGCAAGAATGTTATTATATTTGGCGTTTATTCTTCTTCACTAAGAAGGACACCGAGAAACAAGATGTGGATTTTCAATAACTTCAGGCCTGCTTGAGATTAACATGAGCAGATCTTGTTTGTGGTCATTTCACTTTTGAGGATTGCTCTCGCCAATAGGCTCGAGCTCGGAAATGAGGTGATGCTCTGACACACAGTTCAAGCATCATTTGTGCAAATAATAGGAGCTGGGGCATTCATAAAGGAGCAAGTGTTGGGAACACATTTTGTATCTCGTGGAGAAGATCGTTTTGAGCTGCTGCGGTTGTGATTTGATCCATCTTACATAACTTTGAGCGTTGGTTTTGCAAGAACCAGTCTGTGCTCATGAACCTTCTCTCCCTATGATGGCAAAGGCACATCAGAAACTAATTTAGACACTATTTCTTTGACCATTTAACCAGCTCTTGTGGGGAGTCGGTAGTGTAAGGGCACATATCATCGCCTACTTAGGTAGGTCTCGCTCGGGTTGGAATCGGCCTCGATCTAAACTTGCTAATGTCGGATTCATTAACTCATTCATAGAGGGCTATCACAATTTCACAAACACCAAGACCACGGCGCTCTGACAACTCCACGGTGATGGCACCCGCATCAGAGCTAGCGTGCCCTCCTGTGAGTGAAAGAACACCCCATGCAGATATATACATAAATTTTCTTATCCGTCTCATGATGAGCAGAGTGTTTCCTGCTGGCCTTGAGTTAGAGCGGCATTTGTTTCGGTCGCTAAAGCTGCTCGCGATATCGGGTGTACGTGATGTAGGTTGTCAGTGAGTTTGTGTCGTCTCGTTTCTGCATTCCAGGAAAGTGGGGAGAGGCACTATTTTCGGCAGCGGAAGGATTACGGCGCTTACAGAGATGCGCACGCACTCTACGAGGCATTGCCCACCCTGCATGTGGAAGTCGGCAGAGCATCGTGATTGAGAGGCAAATGCAGCCCGACTCGTGGCAGATTCTCGCCCTCTAAAGGACTGGATTTCGGGTCGATCTAGGTTGGTAGACGTTGGGAAGGGGAGGTTGAGGACGACAAAGATGGAGAGAACAGATGAACGGCTGGCGGAAACGGCCCCGACTTCGGGACTTCGGGAAGCCTCAATGGCTGCCAGACCCCAACTCATGGTGGGCTTATAGTGGAGTGTAGCGCCCCTAAAAGGCTAAATCCATGCCGCCATAGGCAGGCAGCCGCCCCAAACATACCCAAAGAGCCCTCCCAGACCCCTGTAGGCCCAGTAGCCCCCCAGACGGACCCATTGAAAGAGTGGAAGGCAAGACCGGGTCAGGTGCTGCACTGCCTTCAAAGTGGCAGTCGCATCCTGGATTATGGATGGGCGATAATCCACCCCAGTCACGCAACACACTTTCTTCGAAACCTCCTCTCCTCCATCCGCCTCGATTTTGCTCATCCTGGCCGTCAAATACACCTGGCTCTCGCCGTCCTCGAGTCGGCTCCCCGATTGCTACATCTCCCACAGCAACAGTTCATTCTTCTGCGAAACCCTGGGGCCAGCACGATACGGGGTACTTGGCAGTTCTCTAGCGCCCCCTACTCTTCGTCATCGATCGAGGCTCGAGGCTCCTCTCTTCCCTGTTCCCCAGCACGCCCAGCGCTCGCTTGCGACCTCCCTTCCTCTCCCGCCTCGCCAAGACACAGAATCGAGTCGATAGGATATCGCCGCCATCATGACTTGGGAACTCAACCGGCGACGCATCTCGCGCACCATCAATGAAAAATACATCTTCGGTCGCATTGTACGTTGTTCCCCCCCAGCGACTCATGGCAGTTCCAGCCCCGATCCCGCATCCCATCCGCATTAGGCCAGATCAGAGCCAGAAACATCAGCGCCATCGAGCGATCATGCCCTATCTGAACTCTTTCCAATCGTCCTCCGTTATCACACCCTCACTTTCTCAATCCCGTATCGCTAGGGTGTTAGTTTACTAATTGGAATTTCTCCCCAACAGCCGCTCCTGCATACCATCATTCTTTTTATTGAAATGGCACTTGCAGCCCGCCTCACCGCGAGGTTCAACTCATATTATGATGAACGGCCAAGTATGACTACCCAACGACTTCCAGACCACAGCTCCCCCGTCGATTCGTTTACTAACGTAGCCCATCAAAATAGTCATGACCATGATGGTAACCAACGCTATTCTGGGAGGGATTGCCGACACCGTCGCCCAAACCATCAGCGCTATCCGCGAACGAGCCCTTCGTAAGCCCAGCAGTGTCAACAAGCGCACCGACATCGAACTCGAGAACAAGAACGGCGGTCTACTGGACCAAGGCCTGGCCCTCGACTACAAAGCCTCGCCGACCGGCTTCGATTTCGAGCGTCTGACTCGCTTCATGGCCTATGGTTTCTGCATGGCCCCTGTGCAGTTCAAGTGGTTCAGTTTCCTAAGCCAGACCTTCCCCATCACCAAGACCAGTGCCTTTGGCCCCGCCATGAAGCGAGTTGCTTTCGATCAATTTATCTTCGCACCATTCGGTCTCTTCGTCTTCTTCACATCCATGACTCTGGCTGAGGGAGGCGGCAGGAGGGCCGTCGCCCGTAAGCTTCAGGACATGTATATCCCAACTCTCAAGGCCAACTTCATCGTCTGGCCCGCTGTTCAGATTGTCAACTTCCGATTGATGCCAGTTCAGTTCCAACTTGTGAGTATCTCAATATCGATGAAACGTTGTCCAGTCACTGATATCTTTCCAGCCTTTTGTATCTACTGTTGGTATTGCATGGACCGCGTATCTCTCCCTTACTACCTCTTCCGACTAAAAACGATTACAATGTCATGACCTCGATTCCAACCCGGGTCGAGCGTTCTAACCCCGGTGGCGAGGGTCGAAGTTATACATACAGCTATTGCGATAAGGGACATGTCGCTTGGTGTTGAAATGGAGAAGAATGGAGTCTACCGATTTTCCCTCCTCCCCCTTCTTGGATGTTATTTTCGTTATCATGCGTGCTTACGGTCTGGCGTAAGGTCTATGATTGGGTTTCTTATTTTTAATGCCATGAGTCTGGATTTTTGACTAGGTCAATCCAAAGAGGTTTGGCTCGGTTCTCTAGAATTAGTTTGGGAAAAGCACCGTGATGGGCGTCTCACCCGCAGACATAGAACAATCACTTTGAATATTGTCTTCTGGTACCACTGCTCTGGACTGCGAGTTGTTATTAATCGTATTGCTACCTACATACATAGGTAGGTGGCTGGGCCTGCATAACGGCTAGACCTGCGCCTCATAGTGCGCTTGGTGCGGCCTATGGGCTGAATTTAGCTCTGTTCTGTACATAAACCTGCTCCGGGACAAGCTCGTGCCCTCGGTTGCATGCTTGGCCGCCCATCAAAGTCCCCGTCCGTCGCCAGAATCCGGAGGGCGGTATGGCGCAACGAGGCCAATCATGTGAGGGTTGGCTTGAGGTTGCTCATGTTAATCGGGCGGGGGTAGCAGTTCCTTGTCTCCGGTTCCAGGTTCTGCACGCTCCCGGCCAGTAGATGTGAACCTCTGCGGATAGTGCCCGTACGACATCTACTGATGGCAGCGCAGGTGTGACGCGCCTCACCTGTTCACCCCACCACCAGCGCCTGTAACAGCCCACTGGCATCAACTCCCGCCGCCGGGGTCAGCGGCCTATGGGGAGGTCTATCGCCAACAGCTGCCACTAGCTCAGGTCTGTAGCTGCGCTCTTTTCCCCACCATGGCCTGACGGGCCTCTTCTCTTTTCTTCTCCTTCTCCTCCTCCAACCACCTTCTCACCTCCTACCTACGCAAAAATCCAATTCCTTCTTTGCGTTAATTACATCGCAAACATGTCTCTGTCCAACAAGCTCTCCATCGCCGACGTTGACGTCAAGGGCAAGAGGGTCCTGATCCGAGTGAGTGCTGTCCCTGAGCTCTGACTACCCCTCCATTGCTTGTTGCTGTTTGCCCCTCCATCACCATGGTGTCATGGTGGGGGAGGTGGTCTGCTTGCCCACGACGAGATGGCCACTTTTGCCATTCGCGTTTGCCAGCCGAGGAACTTCTTGCTCTCGAATTGATTGCAAACAAATTGGAAGGAGGGCCGTCTCGCAATTTCGTCCGCGCCAGCTGCTAACTAGCTCGTTTCTTCTCTAGGTCGACTTCAACGTTCCTCTCGACGCAGACAAGAACGTCACCAACCCCCAGCGCATCGTCGGTGCTCTCCCCACCATCAAGTACGCCATCGACAATGGCGCCAAGGCAGTGATTCTCATGTCTCACCTTGGCCGTCCCAACGGTGCCGTCAACCCCAAGTACTCGCTCCAGCCCGTCGTCCCTGTCCTTGAGAAGCTCCTGGGCAAGTCTGTTACCTTTGCCCCTGACTCCGTCGGCCCCGAGGTTGAGGCCATTGTCAACAAGGCCGACAACGGCGAGGTTATCCTTCTCGAGAACTTGCGCTTCCACATTGAGGAGGAGGGCAGCGCCAAGGACGCTGAGGGCAAGAAGGTCAAGGCCGACAAGGCCCAAGTCGATGCTTTCCGCAAGGGCCTCACTGCCCTCGGTGATGTCTACATCAGTAAGTCTACCACAACCCCCTTTTGTCTATCAAAGCAAGTTTCTTACCAACCCCCTCTTCTTAGACGATGCTTTTGGAACTGCTCACCGTGCCCACTCTTCCATGGTCGGTGTCGACCTGCCCCAGAAGGCCTCCGGTTTCCTCGTGAAGAAGGAGCTCGAGTACTTTGCCAAGGCCCTGGAGTCTCCTCAGCGTCCCTTCCTCGCCATCCTGGGTGGTGCCAAGGTTTCCGACAAGATCCAGCTGATTGACAACCTGCTCGACAAGGTCAACACTCTCATCATCTGTGGTGGTATGGCCTTTACCTTCAAGAAGGTTCTCAACGACGTTGCCATTGGCGCATCCCTCTTCGATGAGGCTGGCGCCAAGACTGTTGAGTCTCTTGTGAAGAAGGCCAAGGACAAGAACGTCAAGATTGTCCTGCCTGTCGACTACATCACTGCCGACAAGTTCGACAAGGACGCCAACACTGGCAAGGCCACCGATGCCGAGGGTATCCCTGACGGCTGGATGGGCCTGGACTGCGGCGAGGAGTCCATCAAGCTCTACAAGGAGGCCATCAGCGAGGCCAAGACCATCCTCTGGAACGGCCCTGCCGGTGTGTTCGAGTTCGACAAGTTCGCCACCGGCACCAAGGCTACCCTGGATGCCGTTGTCGACGGTGTCCAGAAGGACGGCAAGATCGTCATCATCGGTGGTGGTGACACCGCTACTGTCGCTGCCAAGTACGGTGTCGAGGACAAGCTCAGCCACGTCTCAACCGGCGGTGGTGCTAGCTTGGAGCTTCTTGAGGGCAAGGAGCTGCCCGGTATTACTGCCCTGTCGAGTAAGTAAGCGTACTCTTCCCAGCTAGGGAAGACTTGTTGACCAGATGGCTGGAATCAAAAGGTCGGCAAGATAAGGCTAGTCTGTAGCAATCGCTGATAGCAAGAGGGAACACGCCCTATTATGAAGCTTATGTAGAAAAAAAAATAAAGCAAAAAATATGACCATATAAACGTCCTTGCCTTGGTTGATGATTTCTATCCCATGGATGGAAAGACGTTTCGGTGACCAACACATGAGACTTCACGGACTTTGTAGCAAGCTGTTTTGTATCGGGGCGTTCATTTTTCTCAAGCAGACATGAAGAATCATTGTATCACCCATGCATGCCGGTTGAGTATCGTAGTCATTATCTCTCGTCTATTGAATCGTTGAAACTTCAAAAAGAAACCCGAATTCCCTATTTCGTCCTGATCATTGTTTACTTTCGCTTTCCCGTCCACTCGTTCATCGTCCTTTCGACTCCTGAACCTTTTTCAACTCCTCCCTGTAGGTAAGAAAATCCATCGGTTAGCACATTTCGGTCTGGTAATACGGTAACAAAGCATAGACAACGCTTTGGCAAGTGTGTTGGGTAGGGACGCTGGTCAACATACTTGAGTTGCGCGGAGAAGTCGTCGCTCGTGTCGTCATCGTCCCAGCTCTCCTCCCAGAGGTGCTTGGAGGACTCGCCTCCGCTGGCGGCCTGGGCAGCGGCTTCGGTCTCGTTCTCTGGCCAGTCTGGAGATTGTCGCATGACCTCGTTAGCATTTTCCCCTCTCTGAAGCTTCTCGGGCGGCGTCCAGCAGCCGCCCAAGGGGGTGAATCATCGGGGCGAGGAAGATTTCAGATAGGATTGGATGCTTCCTCTTCGGTGGGAGAACGTACCATCGACGGGGAAATCCTCAAACTCGTCGTCCTCGCCCAGGACGGTGGGCTTGGTGGGCTCTTGTTGCTTCTGGTCAGCGGGGGCGGCAGCTGCGTCGGCAGGCTTGGTCGTCTCTGATGCCATGGTGTGGATTGTGAGGGATCTTGCGTTCCAGGGGGGTTGGATTGCTAGAAATTTGTGTGCTCTTTATGAGGATGGAGAGTTGGGGAAAGCGGGATGCGGCGTGCTGGTGATCGGAGCTGTCTCTCAGCTAGAGGGCTGGCCTTGGTTATGTAATACTGGAAGGCAGCGATGTGTCGTCGACATCCAGACCTGAACCTACCCTATACAAAGCCGGGTGGAACGCTGGAGAACTCCGTGGCTACCGCATCTTGCATGAGTCGCTCAAAACGAACTACCTTGCGAATTGATGATGCTAACAATCTGTTTTATACAGCTAGTTGGCGAGAAATGGACAGCTCCAAACTGCACCTATCGGCGGTCAAGGTAAGATCCGACCAGCACAATCCGGGACATGTTGCAGGTTGGGGCTCGCTAGTGGCAGAGCATCCCATGTCGCAGTGGGGAGCAGTGGCTCATTGGATGATTTGCACAGGCTGATGTGAGATCCAATCGTTGGGGCATGTGGCACAGCTAAGCCTCACTTCTCCCTTGGATATCCAAGATACATTACGGGCGTAAATGTGAGATTGTGGGACGAGCGCCCTGGAAGAGTGGCTTCGAGGTCTAAGTCACAACCAACGAACGCTCCGCTGTTCTGTTCGCGTGCTCTCCCCTCACCCGTGCAACCGGCCAGATCTAGGTTTACTCTATTCACCTTAGTTTCCCCCATAGTGGCAAGTCGGCCATTTTTTCTCTCCGAGGCGCAGTTGAGCAGGCAAAAAAAACCGAAACCGTTACCGATGGGGAGTCGGGATTGATTGATCCCTCCAAGTCTCTCCCAAACACCGAGAGCATCACTCCATGGTGCAGTTAAACGAATAAAGCAGGAGAAATTGGCCCTCCTGCAGCTCTCGGATATAAGAAGAAGCCTGGACGAAGGATCACACAAACTCAGCTTAAATTGCAGAGAGTCAGCATCTCTGTTCCGCACTCCCTCTCCCTCCCTTATCACCCCTCATCCCCGTGCCGGTCGTTCCGTCAATTGAGGCGGTTCATTGCGAATCACTGTCGCTACCATGAGCCGATTTGGAGGCTGGCTGCGGTCCAGCGTCAAGAGCGACCCCGAGGAGGAAAATGCGGCCGCTGCAGCTGCCGATAAGAAGCAGCGCGAGGACCTGGCTGATGCAATGAAGCATGCCCAGCTTATCATGAATGATGACCTTGATGGTGCATACGCTGCCCTTAAGCAGGGTGATTCGGTCTTCCACAGCCTAGGCTCCACTGTCACCTTCTTCTTGCGCTCCGTTCTGGGCATGGAGAAGCAGGTTATGACGGATACGTTGGATATGCTCTACGACTGCGAGACCAAGTGCGGCAATGAGATCAGGACGGCGCAGAAGCGGGGTCGACGGGAGGGAAGTATCTATGAGCCGGGTGCCGAGTTCGAGCTGGTCAGGTCGCAGACGCTGCTGATGAGTGCTGTCGTCGGTGTTCTGCAGGAGAGTCTGATGGAGGCTATGAAGAGTTTCTTGAAGCTCCGCAAGGCCTATGTGGCGCTTGATGGCATCATTGCGGCTGAGAATAAGGCTCTTGGGCTGGACCAGCAGGCTACTTCGGCTGTACCACCACCTGGCCCTGATCATATGCCCGGCCAGTTTGATGATGACATGGCGGAATTTGAGGGACCTCCCGCCAAGAAGGAAAGTGACGACTCTAGCTCCGACGAGTTTCTTGATGCCAAGGAGGCACCCTCTGGATTGCAGACACCAGCGGCGTCGACGGCCCTTACGACACCAGAGGCCAGCAGCCTAGGAATAAATGGGGACAGCAAGCCCAGCGAGCTGTCAACCAAGGATATTGAGGCCATGAGCGGCCTCAGTCTGGAAGACCCAATGGATGTCTTCGTCCATTCCGGCGCCAACATGGGTTTTGGCACCCTCATGCTGCTCTTGACCCTGATTCCCCCGTCCCTCGGTCGCGTGCTGTCTGTTGTAGGTTTCCAGGGTGATCGAGTAAGGGGAGTCCGCATGCTGTGGGAAAGCACGGTGTATGACAACATTTTTGGCGCTGTATCTGCCATGGTACTCCTTGGCTTCTACAATGGTATCTTGGGTACGGTGGACATCCTCCCCCACGAACGGGACTTTGACGAAACGGCTCAAGCCGTTGGCCCCCCTTCGGAAAAGTGCGAAAAGCTGCTCAAGATCATGCGACAGCGGTACCCTGAATCGAGACTCTGGCGTGTTGAGGAAGCTCGTCTGTACACCCACAAACGTCAGCTGGACAAGGCTATCGATGTGCTTTCGTCGGGACCTACTTCCAAGATGAAGCAGGTGACTGCGCTCAACGATTTCGAGCTCTCCATTGACGCGCTCCTGGCCCAGGACTGGAACCTGATGCGGGATAGCTTTCTTCGATGCCTCGAGAACAACGAATGGAGTCCGGCAATGTATTATTTCGCAGCTGGGTGCGCCTCTTTGGAGCTATATCGTGATGCTCACCATGGTGGTGACACACATGAGGCGAGGAGACAAAAGGCAAAAGCGGAGGCGTTCATCCGCAAGGCCCCGTCGCTGACAGGCGCAAAGAAGTTCATGGCTAGGAAGCTGCCATTTGAGGCGTTTCTGCTGATGAAGATTAAGCGTTGGGAGGAGCGAGCCGCCGCCCTGAAGGTTGATCTTGCTGACGCCGTTGGCACTAGCCCGGCGATGGAGCTGTGCTACATGTGGAACGGCACTCGGCGCATGGGTGAAAAGGAGCTCGAGAACTGTATCCCATGCCTCTCGTGGGAACGCTGCACATCTGACAAGGTCGTGGAAATCATTCGAACGGAGCAGGATGAGCTGGCTTGCTGGGCGCTGTGCATGTCCACCATTAAGAGGAGCCAGGGCAAATTTGACGAGGCCAGGAGCCTGCTCGACGAGAACATCATACCCCATGACCCGTAAGTCTTCGCACATACCAAATCCCTCTTTATGCATCTAACAATATCTTCTTTAGATCTGTCTTCAAGGGCCCCACAAAGAATGACTATGTCCTCCCCGCAGCCACATATGAGCTTGGTGCCATCGCTTGGGAAGAATGCTGCGCTGATCCACCGGCTGGCGAGTCGGACGTTGCATCGTATCGTCGGAGAAAGGCCGAAGAGTGCGAGGCACAGCTGACCAAGGTGATGTCGTGGGAGGCATTTTCACTGGATTTTCGCATCGGTCTGCGCGTGCAGAGCGGGATGGAGACGCTGAAGTGGTTCAAGACAAAAAATGGTTGGGCGTAAAGGAGTCTTCTTGGGAATGGAAAAGACCGGCACATCTATAGAGCACAGCTTGCATATGGGGTGATGATTATTGGATAGATTCACCAAGTACACGACTATATTTGTCTGCAGAGAAAGGAATAAGGATTATACAGGATAAAATGCACACGTTAGACTCCGAAACCCTTTCTTGGCTTCTCCAAACACTTTTGACCGAGTTTGCTATTGCCTTTTTCAAAACTTTTCCCTTGATATAACATCATGAACAATAAACCGCCTTTGACCTAGAAACAGCTTGAAGACAGAAACAGAATCAACCCGTCTTTCTGGGCGTCCTCTTCCTGGTGCTTCGCCTCGTCCCAGTCCCGTTCGTCAACGCATCAATCCCATCCTGGATCAAGCCAGCTCCCTCATCCACTTTCTTCGACGACCGCTCCTTGAGATGGTGCTTCTCCGCCTCGTCTTTCACATCCTCGAGGACATCACCCCCTCGGCTCGTGCCGTTGACCCAGTCTAGGAAACCCCAGGCGCCGTAGTTGGCCTTGCCCTTGCTCGCGTAGTGGATGGCGGTGCGGCGCGTGATGCCGCCGAGGAAGATGCCCGGGACGATGGAGTAGCCGGAGGTGGCCAGGGTGCCCTCCCCGGTGCACAGGGCGGTGAAGAGGATGTATGTGAGCAGGTGGGGGCGCAGGATCAGAGACGGGAGGAGGACGGGGACGAGGTTGAGGACGAGGAGCGGGAAGGGGTGGTCGCCGTAGAGATTGAGGGAGCAGGCCGGGTTGGCATGGCCGTAGCGGAGGTGGAGGGTGGTGAGGGGAGAGCGAGACTTGGAGTGGAGGAGGAATCGGTGGGTGTAGTAGGTGAGGGCCTCGCGGGCGGAGAAGAGGATGAGGATATGCTTGAAGACCTGCCAGGGGAGGGGCAGGGTGGTGGAGGTGCGGAAGAGAGGCTTGGACGTTGCGTAGTGGAAGGCGTAGGTGAGGCCGGCTTCGGTGGCGGTTAGGAGGAGCATGTTGAAGACGGCAAGGGCGAGAAGGCGGAGCGGGCGACGGGGGAGGGAGGCGGCGCCGGCGAATTTGATGGAGGCGGCGAGGCCGGGGAAGAGGGTGTCGAAGGCGAGGAAGAGGAGGGATGGTATCAGCCAGAGGAAGATGCGGAGGACGAAGAGCGTGGTGGCGTGGATAACGGCGGCATCGTGGGTGAGGACAAGGGTGGACCAGGTGGCGTAGAAGAAGAGGATGTTGATGGAGGTCGACCACGAGGGGGTGAAGATGGTTGAGACGAGGGGAATGGAGAGGAGGACATCCATGGTGAAGGTATTTCGACGGGATGATACGATGGAAGGTTTTGATTTATGATTCGAGTGCTGTTATCTTACTGTACCATTGTAACTGTTGGCAGGCACCGTCGTTTGTTGAGATACAATCGTAAGGTAGGTTTCTGGGGAGTGGACACAAAGAAAGCATCTCTGAGTACTCAATTGGTTCGCTACGTAGGAATATATACACTTGGAGGGGAGTGAGAACAGGGCGCATCCATAACCTAAACTTGGTGGGTGTCTGGTGGGAGTATGACGTTGGCGGGTGATGACGTCGTTGATGCATCCATCAAAACACCATCTTGGGCAAGTCAGCTTGCTCTCGCTGATGTGGCGTACTGAACCCAGCTGGTAGAGGGTCCCTGAGGGGTGAAGAGGATGATGGAAGAGATAGGCGAGCCGCCTTTTATTTCTTTGTTCTTGCTGTTCTGGCCTCTGCACAGCTGTGCT